TAACAGGTTTTTAAGCCCTGGCTCACATGTTTGTTCTTCTGACCGCTGAACCGTGGGTTCTTCACGGGTCAAAACTGCTTAGTGTTTTCCTTAGAGAGATCTCTTGACTACACTTGTTCGAAACCAAACAAATGAGCACTTCTAGAAAAGTACCAACTGAAGTGGAATTCTTCTCCGTTAATATATCTTGAGCTTTTCAAATCCTATTGGGTGCATACGGTTTCAGAGCCACTTCTGTAGCTGTGACTTGGATACGCTTGTAGTTGGATGGCTGATGAACTGAGCTGTATTTCTGGAAGCTAATGTGAAACACTGGTGCAGCTACACTGCAGTAACTGATCCTGTTATTTGTCTTGTAGTGGGACACGGCAGGACAGGAGAGGTTTCGAACTATCACTTCCAGTTACTATAGAGGTGCTCACGGCATCATAGTTGTTTATGATGTTACAGATCAGGTAAGTGTTCAACCTGTGCCTGGGGAGTTTCTCCAGGTGGAATGCACTATACTGATAAGTAAATAAATCTGGGAATTTAACAACTTGGCACTTCTTGAGACTGTGACCATGTTTTTCAGGCTGCATTAAGGTTTATCAAGGCAAATTGTACATGTTAGTTTCTGGTTGGGGTCTAAACACAGAAATAAAAGGAGCAGTGGGATCTGTGGCTCTGAAGCAGTTGTGTCTTGGGCTTAACCTAAACCTTACTGGGCAGATAATGGAATGTTCTGTGTGAGTACTTCTCACCCTGCCTTTGGTAGCAGGAAGTCTGAATTACTGATGGAAGTTGTTGAAAGACTTCTGAGTGCCCTTGAACTTTGGTCTACAGTAAAAACTGGCATTTGAAACAGAAAATGGTCAGCATGTGTGCAGGATACAACTGAGCCAGTGTTTTCTGTGAAAATCCCTGAGAGTTACTGGTGCAATTGTCCTGTCTGAAGGACTCTTAGGCAAGTGTGGAGTTTCCTGAATTAATAGGAGGAGGAGGATTGGGTTCAATTGTTAACTTGAGTATCAGTTCAGCCTGGCCGTGCTGCATCTCTGGAGTCAAAGGTTGATCCTACAGCGATGTGGTTTGCACCTAATACCTGGTGCTTTGTAAATGCCTGGGATTCTTCTGGTTTCAGCTGTGCCATGTCTTTTATCTCTGCTACAGGAGGAAGAGTCCCAGATGGTGGTGGTGGTTGACTATTCAAGATTACGGAGCAGGGGAAAAATAAGGGGGGGGGGTGGGGGGGGAGGTGCAGCAAGGGAGGAAGGGCTGATTGTGCAGGGCTGGGGTCATGGACTGAGGAGCTGTGTGGACCCTGTGACTTGCCTATCCTGAGGCACCGGGGAGTACTGTAGTGTGCAGGTAGAGAGTTCTCTGTCTTGTGGTTGTGAATCACCTCGACAAGCTAAGTACGTGCCTTCATACTCTTTCCCAGTCAGGACCGGATAGCGCTGAGCTTTCCTCTTGGTTCAGGGTCTTGCTTACAGTTCTCTTATCTCCTAGGAGTCTTTCAATAATGTAAAACAGTGGCTGCAGGAGATAGACCGTTATGCCAGTGAAAACGTCAACAAGTTGTTGGTGGGGAACAAATGTGATCTGACCACAAAGAAAGTAGTAGACTATACAACAGCAAAGGTATGTTGCTATTAAGGCGTATTTGCTTGGTTGAGCACCTACTCTGGATTGTAATGCACTGGAGTGAGTTCCAGGGCAGGGAAGTGACTGGGTACAGAGAGGGCAGGGTGCTGTAAATGCTGGGGGGGTGACGGCCCCCTGCAGTGCCAGACACCAGTGTGGAGCCCGGCACTGGGGGGGGTGGGCTGGGAACTGGGGGTTCACCCAGCCAGTGCAACCGGCAGTGAGGTGAGGAATGAACCTCTCTCTGACCTTACTGATCACTGTTTCTTGATTTGCAGGAATTTGCAGATTCTCTTGGAATACCATTTTTGGAAACCAGTGCAAAGAATGCCACAAATGTAGAACAGTCTTTCATGACCATGGCTGCTGAGATTAAAAAACGAATGGGTCCGGGAGCGACAGCTGGTGGTGCAGAGAAGTCCAATGTTAAAATTCAGAGCACTCCAGTCAAGCAGTCTAGTGGAGGTTGCTGCTAAAACTTGCCTCCCCCCTTTTGTCTCACAACAATGAATTTGCAATCTGAACCCAAGTGAAAAAAAAAAAAAATAAAAATTGCCTGAATTGTACTGTATGTAGCTGCACTACAACAGATTCTTACCGTCTCCACAAAGGTCAGAGATTGTAAATGGTCAATACTGACTTTTTTTATTCCCTTGACTCAAGACAGCTAACTTCATTTTCAGAACTGTTTTAAACCTTTGTGTGCTGGTTTATAAATGTGTAATCCTTGTTGCTTTTCCTGATACCAGACTGTTTCCTGTGGTTGGTTAGGATGTACTTTTGTTTTGATGTTTCTATTGGCATGTTTAGATGTCAGGTTTAGTCTTCTGAAGATGAAGTTTAGCCATTTTGTATCAAACAGCACAACAGTGTCTGTCACTTTCCATGCATAAAATTTAGTAAGATATATGTAAGATCTGATTTGCTAGTTCCTTCTTGTAGAATTATGAATGGAAAGATCACGCTATCTGATTAATAGTTTCTTCATACTCTGCATATAATTTGTGGCTGCAGAATATTGTAATTTGTTGCACAATATGTAACAAAACTGAAGAAATGTTTAATAAATATTGTACTTATTGGAAGTAATATCAAACTGTATGGTGATAAATATTGTCTTAATTTGTATGGCTAAGGGGGCAATCAGGCTTGCATTGTGCACAAAACACAGCGGTGTGCAGCCATGGCTCTTGGACCTCCCAGTAGACCAGAGACTTTCCCTGCAACTAAAACTAGTGACTATGGCCCAAAAGACTGAGTTGGCACGGTGCGCGAGGCACGTTCGCTGTACCGGAAACGCCCAGCCAATGTTCATGGAGGCATGATGCACTCTGAATGTACAACAGTTCCCTAACTTAGTCTTGGAACTTAATTTATTTCTCAAGGACTTGATTTAGGGAATTCCGTCTGCTTTGCCTAGTAGGGGAGAGAACAGCTTTTCCCTAACATGGATGACTTCAACGTGTAACCTTGAGGTGGCATAACTTTCTACCCGTATATTATGTCTTTTCTAGATACTGTTAATTCCATCCTCTTTTAATCAGTACCCTTCTGACTTAATGCAACAGCTTAGCTTCTATTCTGTTATGCAGAGGCATCAGAAGGATGACATGGGGATGGCGAGGCCCCACAGCAGACTGTTGCTCAAAAGTAGGCGCTTATCTCGAACAATTTGGAACTAACCAGCAGCCAAGAGGTTTTGGACAGTGTGTGATTCTTTGTACAGAGCTAATCGAATCATTAGTGCCTGATGTCTAGCTAAAAACCACAGGAAAGCTAGCCTATAACACTTCCTATACATGTAAAATTGTTCAGCTTTATCTAAACTCCAATATTCAGCCTATTCTGTAAATAGTCTCATGTTTGAAAGACCATGTAACATTCCCCTAGTAGTAAATACACCCTGTGATAGTAAAAATATAGCCTAGTATGTTGTGAGGTATAAACTAAAATTGGTGCAAATATCCTCTTGATTTTTTTTTTTTTGGGGGGGGGGGATGACTTTGGCTAACAGCTTTCTTCAACATAGTTGCATAAATCAACAGGCAATTGTAATACATGAAGTATTGTCATGGTTAAGTTGAACTCTTCCACTTGAGACCTTCACAATAAAGTGATGTGCTTTCTATTAGAGATGTGCTTGTTGGTATAATTCATTATATAATGTCACTCGCTCCTCCTCGAGGGCGGGAGCAGTAGGGGTAGTGAGTGCTGCTGAGATCAGGAAGTGAACCGGGTGATATACTGAGGGTAAAACATCTTCCCTGCAGAGAAGTGCACAAATGAACTTAAATGTCAAGATGCCTGCTACATACTATCCAAAACAATGTTAATATATACAGTAATAAAAGCATTGCAAAACCAACTTGGGCTACACCAGTTGTTTGGTGGTTATTTTTTTTTTTTTTTTTTTTCCCTAAGTCATGACTGTGTTTCTGTGCTGGTAAGTGATGTCAGGCTGGAGGAGGGTAGAGCAGGCCTAAAAATCCGGGACGAGGGCCCTGTGACCTGAAAGATTAAAAACCTTTGACCTAAGGGGTCAGGCTTAAGACTTGCAAGTGGTAGCACCCAGGCAGCTGTAGCCTTCCCTTGCGTGTAACCCTCTCCTGGCCTGCTCTAGGCTTTCTTAAAGCATCTCACTATGGGACCTGGTATCGGTAAAGACCATTTGCTTGAGCCTTTTCAACTTACACTGATCTGTGAATTGGCAAGAACAAAAATTGCCCTTTAGGCTGAGGAGGTGGGAAATGGAAGAGTACTGAAAAAAAAAAAAAAACCAAAAACAAAACCCCAAACCTATGCTTTCACCTTCTACTTGTGCAGTACAGAAACTTTGTCTGTTCACAGGAATGGGAGGAAATGATGTATCCTGCACCAGAACATGGTGCTCACCATTTAGTTTAAAGGTTAATTAAAAGCCAAGAACCCCCGTTCTGTAGTTGGCTGTAACTTTTTGGCCATGTGCCTTGTTGTGCTGCTTCAGAAATGCCTTTTTCTGTTGCAGAAAGGGTTTGGAAACTCCGGCGAATGTTTTGTAAGCTGTGATGACCTGCAGCAGCTGTAGGAGAGGGCAAAGGCACAACTCTCCACCCAGGGAACCCACCACAGCACCAACCCAACTACTGCAAATAACAGGTTATCGATAACTCGGTTTTTCCCTGAGTGTACTCACCTGTTCATTATTTTATTGAGAGTCAGCATGCTGGCTCTTTGTGTTTATGCCTAAGAAATCTGAAAGTTAAATAGGCTCTGCTTTAGCAGGGCAGGGTAATTATAAACGAGTTCAGTTTGCTCCCAAGAACCAGAAGGAGTTGCTATTTCTTGGCTTCTAGCACCTATTTTTGAAGAGCATAAACAAAACATGAGAACATGGCTATTAAAATCACACAGCTTTACTTAGAAGTGAGTTGCACAGCATACTATGGATTACTCGGTTAAAAAAACACTGTGTTCCTGACATTTTGCTAACACATGGAACAGGCCACTTGAATACGAAAAAAAAAAAAAAAAAAAAAAGGAAAGCTACATTAAAAAACAAACTAAAAAAAGGCCAGCGGTGTACACTCCTCGCTCGCAAAACTCCCCATCGTAGTCAGCACTGTGAACGAGACATCCCAGTAGCCAAAGAACCCCCGTGCAGCTCAGCTCGCCTTTCTCAAAAACAAACCAACCAGCTCAGGTCGGGCTGGGCTGGTTAACTCTGAACAGAGGGAGCAAGCGCATCTGGCACCTCCGCGCGCGGCGACCGGGGTGGTTTGGCGCTGGCTGCGGTTCTCAGCCGTCCCGAGAGTGGCCGGCAAAGCCCAGGTCTGACAGAGGCAGCACCTGAAATAAAATGGGTTAAGTTTGCTGCTCGTGCTTCGGCTGCAATCCAACCAACAAACACCCCCCTCCCCCCCCCCCGCCCAGTGCTCCTATTTAAATCACCTCCACAGATGCTTGCTGCTGTGTATGATAAAACTATGTATATTTAGCAATTAAAAAAAAAAAAAACAAAAAACAAAAAACCAAACTGCTTAAGATACTGTTACTCTTCTCTAAAGGACTGGAAAGAATTTTTAAAGGACTGGAAAGAATTTTTCCCCTTTGCAACTCCAAATTTTAAGGCGTGCTGGGGAGTGGGCCCTGGGGGAATCAAGGGCCCGAGCTAACGGGGGTGGGAGGGTAGGGGCGGGGTGGGGTGGCCAGGGTTCTCCTGCAGTTCCTAAATCCCCACCTCTCAAGAGCCCTCCTGCGCCGCCGGCCCCGGCGCCTCGCCGACACCCGTGGGGGGGCCGGTCCCGAGGGGGGGGTCTCACAGCCAGTCGCCCTCACGGCGAGCGGCCGAGGGCCGTGGCCCCCAGCGCCCCGCAGCCCCTGCGCGCCCCCCCCGAGCCCGCCCGAACCGCTGCCACCACCGCAGTTTCAGTTGACCGAAGATGTTCCAGAACCCAGCGAACGAACAGGCTTTACACCCGCAGTCACCCACTTCCCTTTCCCACCACGATGTGGCAAGTGGAATTTTTCATTGAGAAAAAAAAAAAACAAAAAAACAAAACAAAACAAAACAAAAAAGAACCAACAGAACGAGGGGGAAAAAAAAAAAAATCCTAAACCCCTTTCCCTTTTTCCCTCTGCTGTCCAGGTGCTCTCGGTAGAGCAGCTGCCTGGGCCCTGCCTGGCGGGGACCGGCCGGCTCCCGCGTCTCCCCGCGGAGCTGCCACCGTGCTCATCACGCTCTTGGGTTCCACCAGCCGGGGCAGACACGCTGCTCTTCCCCGGACACACTTTTAAAGACGATGGGGCATCCGTTTTGAGACCGCCCTTGCTTTCTCTTCTCCTTTTAGGACCTCCCAAACTTCAGAGTAAAAGAAACAACGATAAAGCCTGATGTCTAGTGTTTGCTAAATTAAGTGTGTTACCTTCCTGCGCCTCCCTCCCTCTGCCCTGCCCCAGAAAGGCGGGTTTGTCCCCCTGCTTACCCACTGAGCAGCCGTCTGCTGCACCCCCTGGCCCTCCATCCCATCCTTGCCCTGCACGGGGCCCACGGCAGCTAGAGCAGACTCATACAAGTGCTCCGCGTGGGTTTCCAGCTCTTCAGACTGTTTTGCAATCAAACCCAGTGTGTCTTTCAGAGCTGGAAAACAAAATGTTTGATGGAGGTGTCAGTAACACGATAATCCGACGTCTGTAAGAGAGTTCCACTTGCCCGGACAGACTTTTGAAGAAAATAGAAATCAATAAGCTGATCTTCATCCCATCCACCTTGAGATGCAGAGTTTGGAGGGGGTGAGAAGCAACCTAGGAGACTCCAGGCTGAGTGAAGATAGAGAAATAGGGGGTTCCAAAGGAAACCTTTGGGGTTGCGTAAGCAAGCCCAGCCGTAATGCAGCACGCTCGACCCCTAAAGCCCCTTTGGTGACTGCGGACGCAGCTCACCCTTTCGAAATCCCTTGTGCCAGATGCACCAAATCACCGGAGCCGCTGCCCCACGCGTGCCGTGCCACCGCCCAGGCTGGGCTCTCCCCACACGGGCTGCTGGCACCCGCCCGGGATGCGCCAAGCGCAGGCAGGGCGTGAAAACCACCTCCCGTGCAGCACCGCAGCGTCTCCGCCCAGCCGCCCGCTGCCAGCCCCCCACAGCCCAGCGGGGGCTGGCCACGCCGCCGTGAAGCTAAAAATCTGCAAAGGGACCCCTGAGAGGGAGAAACCCACCCACCACCCGCGACGGGTGGCACGGCACAAGGCAAGGGTCGAGGCACGGTGCAGCTGAAAGTGCTCGGGAGTAATTGCTTCAAACCTCCGAGTCTCTGGACGGCAGCGGAGGCGTGAAACCTTTTTTTGTTCCCATACAGCTGCTGAATGGCAAATTCTGCCCGGGGGTGTCGGGGGGGCAGGCGCTACGGCCAGCACCGCCGACTGACTGCCCGCCAGCAGCCCCGCCGAAAGCGCTCCTCCTCACCCGGCGAATTCGATGCCATGCAGTCGAGGAGAGCTTCTCCCCTCTCCAGCACGCTCTCCGTCAGGCTCCGGTGGTCGGCCACGTCTTTCCTGAACTCCTGGGAAGGGAAGGAGAAGAGCAGCGCCGCTCAGAAGGCTTTCGGGAGGAGATGCACCTGCGGCAGGTCACCCGAGGAGCAGGTCCTCCCGGCGCTCCCCAATTTGGCTCTGCAAGGCCTGATGCACCCCGCGTGCCCCGCCTGGACCGTGCTAGCGGCGACCTCGCTTCGTCCTGCCCGCTGGACCGAAGAGGGGGGAGAAAACCCGACGGTGATACCTACCAAGCAGCGGTGCAGCGACGCCTTCACGCTCCCGGCATCTGGCGAGGGTGGGACCCAGCTGTCGGCGACGTCCGCCACACTGTACAGCCATCGAATTAGCTCGTCCAGCTGGCAGCAAAACATCTACTTAACGAAGCACAACAAAAGGGGTTACTCCTCTATTTCCGCAACAAAGGGACGGCGGGGGCGAGCCAGCGGTGTTTCAGAAAGCACCTGCTCCCTCTTGCTCTCCTGCTGCGGGGCCGGCGGTGTCCGCCTCCCCCTCAGCGCACAAATGTCCCTGAGAATAAGAAACCGAGGGTCGACAGGAAAAAAAAAAAGAAAAAAAAAAAGGCAAACAGCAAATTAAACCCCTAAACACATCACAAAACTACTGTGCGGGAAGAATTGAGGGGCACCAAGAAATAGCTGCTGCGGGGTTGGAAGCCAGTGGCGCCCAGGCTGAAGGAAGGGGTTGGCCTCCACCACCTCCCAGCCGAAGAGACGCCCTCCTCCTCACCGGAGCCGCGCAGTTAATTTGCAGCTGCTTTTCCCCAAAGGCTCATCTCGTTCAATTACGTGCTTTCATTTATTTTTAACGCGTCTTGGCAAGGGATTACTTTGTAAGATGCTGTACGAAACCCAAGGGTCTCTGCTCCGCCCTGCTCCTGCTTCCTCGGCGGTTGGGGTTTTGCTGTGAAGCTGAGCTGCTTCTCCCTGGCACCGGGATTTGGGGCCACAGATACCCCCCTAATGCTGAGCATTTTAAATGGGCAGTTATTCCCATACAGGAGGGGGAATGAGTTGCACTGGTGTGCGCAGCTACGCGCCTGATACCAACCACACCCTTGCAACCAGCCCAGCATCCCTTTCAAATTCAGCCTGGGGCCGGGGTGGGGAAGCAGATGGAGAGGGGAAGGCAAGAAGCAATCCCGGCCCGTTGGGGGAGCACAGCACCAGCCCGGCGCTCGCCCGGAAAGGAAAAATTCACAAAATAACCAAACTCTTCAGAGAAACCCCACCAGTTCTGCCTGACCTTGTTGTAGGCTTAAGCAGGACCCGGCCTGGGGAAGCTGAGCGAGCCCGGGCTGAAGGGAACGACGCGATGCTGCATTAAATAGCCGGAGTGACGGGACAGGCAGCGAACGCCGGATTTCGTGCTGGTCCAGCCCCGACCGCGGCTCTCGCGGCTCCCCCGGTGCAGCAGCACTGCAGGGCGGGCGGGCCGGAGGAAGCCCAGGGTCACATTTCTGAGCCCAGCCCCACGACGCTGAGCCCTGGGAAAAGCGACACGGGCTCTTGCTCCATCAGAAGAAATTAATCTGCGCCGGTGGGCCTCCCTGCAAAAATTCCCACCAGCTGCCAGACACCAAACATCATGCAGAAGGAGAAGCCGTAACTATTAATTGTGCTGTAAACACCAGCACATTTTATGTGAGATCTTCCAATAATAAACTCTATTTCTGGTCTCAGCCTACCTTAACGCACTGGGCGAGGGACTCGCTCTGCTGGCTCTTCTTCAGATGCCCCCTGGCCCGCGGTTCAGTCGGGTATGTCCCATCCAACGTGTCCCTGAGCCGCCGCAGAGGATCCCGACGGATCTGGCCACACGATTCAGCGTTTTCCCAGCTGGGCTTTCGGGAGCTGCAGGGATGCCACAGCCCAGCATAATCCTCAACATTCCCTCTTTTGCCTCTGCCACCTGCTGCCCTGAAAGGAGCCAGCGCAGATGAAAGGGGCTGCCCGCCGTCACTGTGACATCGAAGGTTACAGTCGTCACGCCCGGGCATCCTCACAGTTAAGGAAAGATCGGACAAAAACTGAGCCAGCCTTTCCAGCTCCCGCAGTCTTGGAGGGAGGGAGAGAAACTCTTCATCGCTCTCCCACTCCTTCCTCAGGGGGAGCACTTGCGTTGTAGGTAAGAACCTACTCGCGCTTTTCGCCTGCCCTTTGTGGGGTGGAAAGGGGCTCTGGCCGGTAGCCCGGCTTCTCCCATCGGCAGCGGGGCGGCCCGATGAACCCGGCCCAGCTGACTCCCTCATTACATCCTTCGCAAAACCTCTAGAAGGGCAGGAGGAAGCGCTCTTCGCAAAGGATGCTTTTGCAGCAGCTGGAGGTTTGTAGGATGAGCCAGCTCCTGAGCAGCCTCTTTTGCCAGGCCCCGGGGCGGAGAACCTCTCTGCAGAAGCCGCCAACCCCCAGGGTCCATTTTCTCCACTTCCCCGAGCCTGCCCACCTCGGCCGTAGATGCTGGTGGACCTCGACGTGCCCTCAGGGGAAACAGAAAAGCTGTCCAAACCTATTCCTGAGTCGTGGAGGAAAGGCTCCGGCATCTTTCCCAGCTTGTACCTTGGCTTCAGTGGATAAGCATAATCCAACAAGTCCTCGTACTCTTTATTAGGGTTCCAGTGGGGTGAGCGACGGTCCGGAGATGGAGGTAAGGAATCCGGTATGGCACACGCCCAGTAATCGGCCTGGTAGGATGACATCTCTCTGATGCGCTCCGTGGCCGCGCGGGCGTCGAGCAGGGGGCCGAGGGGCTTGCGCGCCCGCAGCGCGCCCCGCCGACAGCACGGGTCCCGGGCGGCCGCGGCCACGGGAGAAGGCACGTCCCCGCAGGCTGGCAAGCTTCGGCACGGCTCTTCGGAGAGGCCCTTTTCTTCTGAAGACAGAGTGGAGAAGCTCGAGGTGGAGCGGCTCCGCAGGGCGCTCTCGGGGCTGAGCGGGGTTTGGGGTCGCAGGAGCTCCGGGGTGGAGGAAAATGGGGATTGAGCTCCCAGCCTTCGGCTCCGCCGGCCGGCACGGGCGTCCTGGCAGCTGCCGGCAAGGATGCTCTCCTCTGCAGAGCTGCGCCGGCCGGGAGGGCTGGACACTGGCTCCCAACAGCCCGATGCCTTCACCTGCTCAAGGACGGGGGGAAAATAGGAAAGGGAGAGAGAGTGACGCATAAAATGAAACACAGCATCCAGACAAAAGGCTCCTTTGTGCCAGGACATGGAGATAAAAGCCCAGTCCTGGACCCACGGCAAAGAGATGCTGGAAGGGAAACTGTTCCATCTGCGGGACGGTACACAGCTGCCCGGAGCCTGGAGTGGGGTTTGTTTTTAAGGAAAGACATTCCGAGGGCTTGGGGAGCCGCACGAGCCATTTGGCAGCAAGAGGCACTCACTGAAGCAGCCCCGTCCCGAGCAACTTTGCAGCTCCGCAGCGACAATACGGACCCGGAGGCAAGAGCTCAGGTGCTGGAGCCCAAAGCTGTTCCCCACCACACAGCTCAGGCCTAGGGCTGGAGGAGACGGAAAGCCCTTGGTAGAACAGCCCCGACAAACAAGTCCCCACCTCGCCTGGGACCTCCCGGTGATGCAGCAACGCCTGTAGGTACAACCCCCCTCACCTGCTGCTCTTCCGAGGGGAGGAACCGGTGGCTAAAGCGCCGAGGCACGCCGCCGCCGTCAGCGGCTCCGTAAATTAACAGCTCTGCCTCCGAGAGGCTCGCTGGCGCTCTGGCAGAGCTGGATGCAGATGCTGAAGACGCTTCGCGGCGGTAGCTCGAGGCTGCCCGGGTAACACCGGTGACCAGGCGACGGCGTCCACTCGTTGCCACGCTCTCGGTCCCCTGCGGGCAGGGCTTGGCTTCCTCTGCCCCTAAAAGCCAGCGGAGGCTGTCAGCCAGCTCCGGGTAGTCCGTCTCCACGTTTGCACAGTCCCAGCTACCATCCCCCTCGGCCTTCCCGCTCAGCGAGGCTTCAGAAGGTGATTTCCCCACATCCACGGCCATCGGGACAGAACTTCTTCCCCAAGATGATGGCGAGCCTCAGGCTCTCTGAAATACACAACAGGCAGTAGCAGCAACTCGTCGTCCCCCCCTCGTCTCCACGCCAAGTAAAGAGACTGCGTATGTCTAACAATGAAGAGCTGAAGCATGTTCCGGGGCAGACCCCAAAAAACCATAAAGGTGCATCTCGGTGTGACAGTGAGCCAGAGGAAAGACCAAACCTTTGCGTCTCAGCAGTGTTTTCTGCTTTTGAGGACGTGACACGCAGGGAAAGTCTAATTAAAGCTCTGGCCGCACTGAGAACCCACCTGTACTTTACACCTTGCCGACACAGGTTGGGGGGGGGGGGGCAGGGGTGCACCTGAATCGACGGCCAATCTCACAAACTGTTTATGCACCACGAGGTTACTGGGCCCAAATGAGACATCATTAACGAGGTCGTAAACACCTGTTTGCGTGGCCGAGCCCTGAGGGCTGTTGGGGTGGAAAGCTGAGGGTTTCAAAACCTTGAAATGGAAGCCACCCACAAGTGAGAAGTATATATAAAAATGAGAGGGGGGGATATAGGAGGCTGTAAAAGCCAAACTTGGCACTTAGCTCTGCAGCTTCTACCTCAATTCATGAAACTGAATCTTGGCAAAATTAATTAATGGAAATACTTGCTCAACCGATGACACATTTTCAAGCATGCTGTACAGCCAAGCTCATTGCATCTTGCTAAAAATCTAACATATTGTTCACAAAGCCTGAGCCCTGGGCACTCCGTGCACGGAGATGCTCCACCACCACCCTCTCGCTGCCCGCACCGGCCTTCAGCGAGGAGCTACAGCGGGACAACTGATGGGCCAAACCAAGGAGATCCAACACAGCACGCGGGAGACCTTGTTTTGCAAACGCCAGCCAGAGCCGAGCCCCTCTGCTTGCGTCCGCCAAGCTAGCAGGACTCAAAAACACTCTCAACACAAATGACACCTTGGGGACTCCCCACGGAGCATCAAAAGCGGCGTTGCCCAAATCCCCACGCACTGGCTCTGCGCCTCTCCATCACAAGGCGGGCGTCCTGGGGGCAACACCGAAGCCTCTTCCAGCAACGCCAGCCCGAACCAGGGTGCCGGCACTAGGAAAACACCGGCAGAGTGGTTTTGCTGGTACTCGCCCAGCTAGCGCCGGGCTAGCGATGGAGAGGCCAACAGGAAACCCAATTTGAAAAGATATTAAAAAATGAAAAAAAAAAAAAAAAAAAAAAAAGGAGGAATTCCCAAACAATACTTAGAAGTGGGAAGCCAGTTGATACTCACGCCCTCCATCAGCTCTTTTGTCACCGTCTCGTTTCGCGACCCAGCCCTCCAGCGACGGGGGTTTTCCCACGGGCAGAGCCCGTCCAGGGAACAAAGAGCGGCGGGGCGACGCGCCGGGTCTCCAGAGGAGACCGAATCGCTGGCACAAGCCGTGGCAGGCAGCTGCCTTCCCCCTCCCCGAGCGCCGGCAGCCCCAGCGCTGCCCAGCAGCCAAATTCGGTTACGTTCAGCCTGGCAGCAGCTGTGGAGAGGGCGAGGAAAGGCCGGGCTCTCCGGGCCCTCCACGCCAGCCCTGTCTCTCCGCTGACACCTCCACCCACCCACTTGACCTGTTGCTGCCAAATACGACCCTACGCGCAACGCGTTATCCTAAAATCAACGGTATTGCTCTTCTCCTCCCCCCGCAAAAAGGTTGTATATCCAAACAAAAAATGCACGGCAATTGCAATAAACGTAACTGATAAACCTATCCCTGCTAAATACCCGGCAATATATCATTAATTATAAGTAAGCATATTCCTCTCGTTTAACAAAAGGTAGATTTCTGATGCTAGCAGGAAGAGTGTCCCAAACCACTCCTGAACCCATGTCTGCTTCCCGCAGAACACGTGTGCGATTTCTTCACGTATCCATCACACAGATTTTTAAGGCCAGAGGTGTCCGGACCCCGGGGGGCAGCCCCTTGTTACCTGCCAACCTTCACCAACTCCCATTCGGTGCCTCTGAATTAGTTCTGTTTAGCCAGTCAAGCGAGCAAGTATTAGCGAATCAAATGCCAAATCCAACTTACAGGTGATTTAAACACCCAGAAAATCCCCTGAGATATATTTGTTTACTGGCTTTGAAAGCCAGGGCCTTGGCCATAAGGAGAAATGATGCTCGCTGGTTGGATTCCTCCTCTTCCAACCAAACCTGATGAGCAAAAAGCCACCGGGATGACAAACCATGAGGTACCGCATATTAAATTCCAGGATCTGTTTCAGAGCCCAAGAGCCTGCTTCAAATTCACCATTTTGGGCGCCTTCTTCTGTGCTGAGAAGCAGGGGATTCAGCAGAGAACACCACTAATTGTCACGACATGGACGGGTATCTCACTGGCTCTTAATCCCTCCTTACATGTACTAGCAATGCTGTACATCCCAAAATGATCCAGTAAATATAAGTCTTAACAGAGAAAAGGGAACTGGACCCCTGTTGCTTAGGACATAAATGCCCTGACAATCAGTTCTGTTGTTGGGTAGTGATTTTAAAAAATATATAAAAGAAAGAAAAGTTTAACAAGGCATCAAAGCAGACTTTAAGGTTTTAAATTGAATGTGCAGTAATTAATGATTGCTCTCGGTACCTCTTTATTTTTAAGACGATGCCATGTTAAATTCAAAGTGATGTTGAACATCATTATCTCCATCAGATTTAGTGGCTCGAGTCATGTGTCAGTCAGCCCAGTAAAAACAACTATAAAAAAACACACATAAGCTTGACCTTAAGTCTGAAAAGGATGTGTTAAGCAACATTAAAAAAAAAAATTACAGGTGACAACCCAGCTGTTATTTTTGTAACTACACAGGAGCACGAAGGTTGAACTATTCGGAACATTCAAGACTATGTGTTCATCTTATGGACGCAGCATGCAGGGTTACACATTTCTATGATGCCATCAGTCTTAAAAAAAAAAAGCAAGTGCTGGTTCACAGGTTCACAAAGTCTCCAGAAGCTAACTGGAAGCTAAAGAGAAACCAGGAAACCTACCAATACACATGAGTGAGAGTAAATCTGCTTATTTCAGAATTTGCAAGGCTATTCAAAGAGACACCAGAGATTTCACTGCCTTTTCAGATGTCTCTAGTTCAGGCAGTTAATTCCAATTCATTTCAGGAGGAGCCAGACATCCAACCACACCTGGACGCAAACTAGATGGGGAAGTCGCCCATATCCCGTACACAGAACGATCAGGCAAAAAATAAGATTTAAAAACAAAGTGAAAATGCTAATGCCACTAAGGGCAACTCCCGACTACAAGAGCATCTAGAAAACAAGGTTTCTCACCATTTTCCAACAAAAACGCAAAAAATTCAGAGGCCTGGTTGCCAGTGGCAGCGACGCATCGGGATTAACCCTTGTGACGGGAAGCCCAAATCCTCGGGGAGGACCGACACGGCTCTGAAGAGGGACGTACGACCACAGCTTTAGGCACGGTGGAAACTTTCCACTGGCCTTAAAACCACAGGAAAACGGCCAGAAATCCCGGCTACCCCCGAGCCCTCAATTGTCTCACCAGCGATGGGGCGGCACAGACACGGCGCCCGCAGCTGGCTTTTGAGCTAACAGATGAAGACAGTGGCCGTTTCATTCGTTTCAATAGGGGAAGGTCCACGGGGATCTCTCAGGAAAAGCGATCCCTGAGCTTTTTCACGGCGCCGAAAGGAATCTGCCTGCCAAAGAGTCGCGCGAAGCCCAGCAGACAACAAGAGCTCTGTCCCAACCGGAGACGTCCCACTGCCTGGGGGGCTGGCGGCCTTCAACACGAGCAGCAGACGCTGATAAGAGTTTCCATCTCCCACCAGCTCTGGTTTTGCTGGGGAAGGGTTTTTGTTGTTGTTGTATTTGGGAAAAAGCACACCGCTCTTGCCTTTCAGGCCTGCGGGAGCGAAGTTTTGGTCATTTTTTGATCCGCTTCTTGCGCGTTTCCTGCCCGAAAAGCCATTCCGCAGCTGAAAAAACAGCACATTAACCAAAAAAAAATAAAATAAAAAAAAACAACAAACCAAAAAACAACAAAAAGAAAAAAAACCAACAACAACCAAAAAAAAAAAAAAAAAAACAACCAAATAAAGGCAATACAGCCGAGGAGGCACCGCACCCTGGGGATGCCCTGGAGTGCTGGAGACACGGATGCGACGCGCCACTGGTAATGGGGACGGGCTTCCAAAGGGAAAGCCACCCGCTTCCTTCCTTCCTTCCGTCCTTCTCTCCCTCCCTCCCTGCCCCCAGCACCTCCCGGGCGCGGCGGCAGCCCCGGCCCGGCCCCTCGGTCCCCCCGTGGGCCCCGGCCCGGCCCCTCGGTCCCCCCGTGGGCCCCGGCCCGGACCGCACCTACCGAGCGGCGGCCGCTGCCGCCCCGCCTCCCGGCCCTCGTCCCAGCCAATGGGAGCGCGGGGCGATACGTCAACCAGGGCTCCCCGGCGGCCCGGCAGCCAATGGGAGCGGGGCGTGGCGCCGGGCTCCGCCCCCTTGGCTGAGGGAAGGAGGAGGCGGCCGAATCGCCCTCCTGCCCCCCGGGGCCTTGAGGAGCTGCCGGTGCTGGAGTGGCGTCACCTCCAGTGCCCTTGAGGCGCCTCTTCAAGCTTTAGGGTGTTGCTTTTTCTCCTGTACATTGATTTTCCCGGGGCCAAGCCTCCCCTCCGCCCCTCTCCGGGCGTTACCACGCTGTTTCTGGGGTGAAAAACCATCTAAAAAACGCTATTGCGCAAGCAGTGGCCGTGCATGTAGTGTCAAATGGATCTTAGCATCCTACAAGCACAACGCAAAGCCCGTTTTTGGAGGAGGTCCCAGTTCAAGACCTCCTCCTGCAGTAGCAGAGCCGGCTCTGGGTCGGGGCCTGGCTGTGGGCTGCTGGTTGCACCCTGAACCCAGCCAGACCCTTCGGTGGATGGAGCAGCCGTATCCCGACGTGTGTCCGTGTCCTGTAGAAAATACAAACCTTTCCCCTTGTTTCTGTCCACAGGCCAATTCTGGGTTTTGTCCGCATCATCTGCTCCTGGAGCTTGTTTCTTAGATGGGATTTCCTAGAGGTCAGTTACCCAATAAAGCACTTTATGAACGACGTTGCTGCCATGAGGGACCAAAGAGACATCTCGGGTTTGCTCGGCGGGCTGGCAGCAGGTATCCCAAGTCCCTGGCTAGTGCTTCAGTCTGCTGGCCACACTCCTCTGCCCCGCAGCACCCCCCAGCGCTGCCACCCCTCGTACTACGGTCCAGATTCCCAGCTGCTATGACCCGGGTTTATTCTACTGACCTCGATGGAACTGGCCCCCATCTACCGTCTTGCTTTTTCTCTCTAGAGAAACAGAGTGGGAATATCTTTTTCAGGGCTGCTTCAAAAAGCAGAGCTGTAACACCGCGGCATAACATGGTACAGCACTCCCAGAGGAGCTCACAGCCAAGAAAAATCCCCCATCACCTCTGTTCCTGCATACTATTCCTGTATTTGAAGTTTATTTGATGAAGGCTACAGCAGGTCTTCTTGCGGGCCGCACATCTCTCTGCCTCAGATGCACGCTTTTGAGAGTCAGCTTTTTGTTGGAATTCACGCAGGCAAAGCCCTTGTGAAAAAAAAGTTCTTTTAAAATGTTGTTTATTGCTTATTCTGCAGGGAGCCAGTTGCCTGCCAGCAGAGGCCGTGCTGATTTCAGGCAAGTTGAAAGGCTGAAGCAAACACGGATGGGTCATGATTCATACCCAGGCTCGGCTGTTTTTAGCTGGTTTAAATTACTTGTAAGCTGCCAGACATTGTTCTCGGAGCTGAATAGCACTCGGCTGCAGTCTCAGCCCCGGCAGGAAAGGTTTGTGTCCTGTTCCGCCTCCGATCAAACGAGTGCCAGGATGTCTACAAGAACAGCCAGAGTGCCACAAAATCTTTCCCCCTCTCCTTGGGCTCATGCTGAGAGGGTGTCAATAAACAAGGGGGGAATAAACTGGTGATCTAAAGGAGAGATTATTTTTAAAATTCGGGTAAACAATACTGATTTTCTTCCGCTGACATCTGGCCCTCTTTGATAGGAACTTTGCTGAAGAGAAACTAGCTTATTTGATCTATAATACAGGGTCAAACCCAGCCAAACTCCCACCCAGAGTCACTCAGGGCTGGCAAAGACTAATATCGCTATTTCATTGCTGATTTGAGATCTCAGGGTTCTTTCAGACTTGTGTTCTTCAGCAAGAAGGTTCTCCAGGAAAGACAAATTATTTCACTGCATCTATGGATGCAATGATTCAGCAGTAATCCCTGTATCTATGATATGAAACAGAGCTTGCTTACGATGATCAGATTTGAAAGTGGTATATTTCTACTATATGAGAAGCTGGGATAAGAAGACTCCATTTTCTTCAAAAACTTCTACCTTCTTGGTGGAAATATCCGTGTTTTTGTACAGTACCAGATCTGTCAGGAGCACCGGCTATATTTATTCAGAGTTTTACTACACCCATAACTGATCGTGTGCTGTTATCCAAAGTTTTCGGCCCATTTTGTAATTTCTTTCTACCTCGAACGGTCTCACACTACAAACCAGACAGTTAACACTCTACGATGAAACCTGAAGCCTGGATGTGCACCATATGCTCTTGCATAGCATCTGCACTATCTTCGGCATCAAATTTCAGTCTCACAATGCAAATGTTTGGGATGGATGAGATGCCAGCAAATGCAGGGCTTAGACCTGACCTATTTGTTCCCAGAGCATTGCTAGCAATATTAATAAAGTACTGCAGTGAAAAGAAAAACTGGTTGTAATCACTTTGCCATCTTCTGGCCAGCAGTATGGCATTATCTGTGGGGAGGATTTGCCTGCATTTGGAAAATTATTCCATTTCTGATGCTGCGCCTCAGACAGCTAGAGAGTTAATATTACACGTAACCTGTTAGTACACCTGCCCATCTCCCAGTGTCACCATCAAGGTGGGAAGGAGCTGCCACCAGCATTCTTTGCTTCTGTTGGCTACATCAAAGTGATTGACGTTATTCCTCTCCTGTGTGAAAATTGCTCAGGCACTGATTTATAAAAATACCTATGTTGCAACCCAATGGTGCCACGTTCCTCGCTCCTTAAGGCCAGGCTGGCTGGCAACTCTCTCACCCGTGGTTCTGGGCAGGAGATGTCTTCGTACAAGCTGCTCAGGACCCTGCTCACTGTGCACTGGCTCTGCCTAACCCCCCTCTGAAAGGTGTTTGCGTGGAGAGGTCCTTCTCCTCTTGAGGCTAACAAGCCTTTTCCCCAGAAGTCAGGATTGCCACATCTTGTACCATTCCCCTTGATTCTCACTCTTTGGGCTGCATTTCTTTGAAGCTCAACACCTAAACTTGGTTCAAAACTCCAGCGTGGGCTTGGCTATGATTAGGCAAAACTGGTATGGTAGTCCAGGCTGCGTTCCTGTTTACACACCCTGCTATAGAATCTGCCTTACTCACAGCACAGGGCATTTGACTCATGCTTCTGACTGCCCATAACTTCCTGATCCTGCTCCTTAATCTACCATTTCCCACCAGTATTAGTGCAGTTAATTACTCTCATCCAGGTTAATTCTTCGTGGCCTCTGTTGCACAGACCTTCTCTCAGTTTTTCTAATGTTGCTGTGAATTTCAGCCCTGTGCTTTTCCATGTTCCCAGACCTTCTCCTCCAGGTGGGACCTGCAGATTTTGCTCTATTCCAACATGTGCATCACTAATCAACTACTTATAGTCCTGGACCTACAGTAGGCCCTTGAGGAATCCAATCGTTCAGCTGGACAGTTGCTCTAGTCATGTCTAAATAAGCAGGTTCAAACTCAGCCATCTTGCTTTAGCTTCTTTATAAAGTCATGAGAACCCTAGTTTGGGTTGGAAGGGACCTTAAAGACCATCCAGTCCCACCCCCTGCCCCAGGCAGGGCCCCCTTCCCCCAGCCCAGGGGGCTCCCAGCCCCGTCCAACCTGGCCTTGAACCCTTCCAGGGAGGGGGCACCCACAGCTGCTCTGGGCACCCTGGGCCAGCACCTCACTGCCCGCACAGTAAGGAATTTCTTCCTTGCATCTAATCTAAATCTCCCCTCTTTCTGTTTAAAGCCATTACCCCATGTCCTACCCCCAACCCCCTGACCCAGAGTCCCTCCCCACCTTCCCTGTCCCCCCTTTAAGCCCTGGGAGGCCGCTCGAAGGGCTCCCCGGCCCCTTCTCTTCTCCAGGCTGAACCCCCCCAACTCTCTCAGCCCGGCCCCCCAGGGGAGCTGCTCCAGCCCCCCCAGCATCTCCGTGGCCTCCTCTGGCCCCGCTCGAGCAGCTCCGTGTCCTTCTGCTGTTGGGGGCCCCCGAGCTGGCCCCAGCACTGCAGGGGGGTCTCCCCAGAGCGGAGCAGAGGGGGAGAATCCCCTCCCTGGCCCTGCTGCCCCCCCTGCTCTGGCTGCAGCCCAGGGCACGGGTGGGTTCTGGGCTGCAAGCGCACTGTGCTGCCTCACAGGCAGTTTTCCACCCACTAATACCCCCAAGTCCTTCTCCTCAGGGCTGCTCTCAATCCACTCCTCACTCAGCCTGGATTTCTGCTTGGGATTGCCTTGACCCATGGGCAGGACCTTACACTTGGCCTTGCTGAACTCCATGAGGTTTGCCCAGGCCCACCTCTGCAGCCTGCCCAGGCCCCTCGGAATGGCATCCCTGCCCCCAGTGTGTCCCTGCACCACACAGCTCAGTGTTATCAGCAAACTTGCTGAGGGTGCACTCGAACCCACTGTCCATGTCACCAACAAAGATGTTAAAGTGCATCTCTGAAGACTCATCGAAAGCCTATAAACTTTCCCTCACTCTTCTAGATCATCATAACTACTAGTGCACTATTGTTAAATATTTCCTAAAAATGGTAGCTGCTTCTTTTTCTTCCTGATTTCGGAGAAGCACCTGAAGATATGACTTAAGCACACCCAGGGGAACTGACAAATGAAACATGTAAAGCAGGATTAATGAAGAACAGAGGAAAATCTAGAGTGACATCTATTTTAGTGTCAACATTGAAGTGCAGAGAAATGAACCCCAGTGCTAGCAGCTGGGCAATTTCACTTCTTTACCGCTCAGTTGCTCAGCCGGGCAGTGGCAGGATTTAGTCCAAGAAAATGGTCAACTAGATATTGCACTTCTCCTTTCTGGCCACACGATGTACCCATCACACCACAAACAGCCTGGCCAAACCGCCTGCAATAGGAGACCCAGCCACAAAGGCAGGCGTTTCATGTTTCCATATTACCCCAAAGTGTCTCCTTACCTCTGTCCAGGCCCTCTAAAACACCCACGCAGCTGCAGATCAAGTGCCGTGGCGCAGGGGGGGATGAATGGGATGGAGTTGGGGTGGTCCAGACGCTTCACCTTTCCTCTTGCTGGATGAAGGGAACAAGTTGCTGTGAAATGAATAGGAGCCGGATGGTCAAGAGGTGGTAGCAGCTTTTGATGAATGTGAATTATAATGGGAAATGAATAACTGGGATTAATTTTACTTTTTAAATGTGAGATTTTACTGCTGCTTTCAGTGGGGAGTGTGAGGGATTTCTTTTTCATTCTAATTGCTGGCATGTCTTGGCCCTTTGTCATTTGTACGTTGTCCTGAACAGAACCAAGAGGATCTTCAGAGCTGGGATCTGCAGGAACCAGTCGTCAATGGAGAGATTTGTAAAAGAAATACTGGGATTGGTGTGAATGAAAATCTGTTTATGCAAGCCTCAGAAGAAATAGCAGAGCAGGGGAGGGGGCTTAAGAACGGCTTGTATTCATAACAAATGACACCATTCCCAGCAAAAAATCTGAGACTATGTTGTTTTTGTCAAGCCCCGAAGGTCCGCACACCAATAAGACCACAGCACACACAACTTATTCGTGAAAGACCCTCCTCTCTGGTAACGGGAGGATGGCAGCATATCGCATTTCCCATTCCTTCTCCTGGCAGCCCAGCAGGAAGAGAGACTTCAGCAAAGGATCACCACAAAACAACTACTGATTCTTAAAAAATTATTAAAGAACTGTCCCAAAACTGGGAGGTGTAGTAAGGATTTGACAGCCCTCATCCCTTGTTGCTTATGTTGCACACAAGTGATAGGGGACATACCGCTTGAACGACCATGTGCCACTGCTTGTGGGTGTGAGTGAATTAAATCTGTAAGAGAATGAGTGTGGGTGGGTAGAATCAGCTTAAAATGTAAATAAATACCGTATTCCCCTTCTGTAAGATCTCATACTGAGTTTGGCCACACTGATTACCTCTCTCAGCGAGAATGATACCTCTAAAAGCACAAAGCCTGGTGCCTTCAGGATGCTCAGTGAGTCAAATTACTTGAGCTGCTTAACGATGCAGTACCAGGGAAGCTTCATCTTAATGCTTTGGTTGCTGTTGGTTGGCACCTACTCCGCTTGCGAGATTTGAGTTGCGAATGTTTGTAGGCCTCCCTCAAACTCTAGTGGCTGTAGGCATCGCCATCTAATTATAATCTAGCACAACATGATGAAGAGAATCCAGATCTGCCCGACTGTGTACATGTTTTGGTAACACAGCAATTACAGTAATTTACACGGCCTTGCTGATCACTACCCTGCAGAGGGGGTGAAGTGTTGTTACCCAAGCCTGCGGAGTGGCTTTGCGTTGCAGCTCTGGTCCTAGGTTTCAGAGACAGTTTGTAATTTGTCTGGTCCCTGGAATATATTTTGACAAACCCAACCCTCACGATCATGAGAATAACTTTCAAAATGAGGAAATAAATTCCGGCTGCTACCCTAGCCGCCCTGTTTAAAACCACAGGTATCTTCCACAGCATGATGGCTTGACTCTTAACATCCAAGGTACAAAACTTGCAAGAACAGCAAGTTAGCTGTAAGCTCGCCAAACTATTTTCATGCACATCACAGCTCATGAGTCTTCCGAGAGGTACAATGTACCTGTACGTTCGCGTGAATGCTCATAATGGGGAGACAGCAGAGATTTGATTTTCAACAAGTTAACATCAATCTACGTGTTTTAAAGATGATCTGTTAGCACAGCTGTACCACAGAACCTGTTTGACTCAAACCATTCATGCCACAGCAGAACAGAATGGTCTTCTGTTTAACTAACTCACAGAGCACTTGCCTACAATTGTATCTATCTTAATCAGACAAACTGGGGATTAAAAAAAAAGAGGACTAATCAGATCCTTGGCTATAATTGGATTTCCTCTGCAAATATTAAGTTACAACAATAGCGGCAGCTTTTGTTATAAATTTATTTTTAAATGCTTTTCTTCATGTGAACTAGACAAATGTGTGTTGCCTGCCTAGTGCTTTTTAGAAGGAAGAAGCGAGAAGCATGATCCCCCAAACTGTCTTCCTCTTAAAAAAAGATGAAATTAGTAAGAAATTGGAAAGCATGTGGCCGGATTGGTTGTTGGTGGTAAAAAAACAGAATAAACTCATTGAACTTTAAATAGAACTTCTTCCAACTTTTATCTTTTTGTTGAAATATCGTAAGAAACTAGCAAGATCTAATAACGTCTGGCCCGAGTCAGCTAGGACTCAGTCTAAGACTTGACTCAGTTCTCATTAAAGACAAGCAATCATTCCACATTTTTCCATGGGTCTCGTAAAGCTTCATGTGTTTCAAATGGCGAGGCACTACAGCTCCGACAACCACCACTTACCTCAGATTTCAGAAAACCTGCTTGTTTTAGGCAGCAGCCACCTCTGTATCCAAAGCTGACATTTGAACGGCTAGAGGCTAAGGATCAAGAGGACACCTCTGTTAGCTTGCTGGTCTCATATTCCTCCCAGTATCTTCTTGGGATTTCAGCTAGGAAGCGAGAAGACAGAAACAACCATGAGGTCAGGCAGGCTTTTTGGAAACCACACACTGACGGTTTCATAAAATTCACATACCAAGACATAATACCAGTCACAATTTGTAAGTCATAGATGGGCAGGTCTTTCAAATTATACTTCTTCTGGTGCTTGCAATTCTTGCAAATTTTCCAACCTTGTTTATTAGTTCTAGGACCAGAATTTAATACTTGAAACTAACCAAACTATACTTACGTAGTAGATTTTTTTCAGTATTTGTGATGTTCTGCATTGTGCATCTTGGGATAAAATCTACCCTAGGGAGACATAGGAGCTTTTAATGGAAAAGCTGTATCAAAACCACATTGATAGCAAACCCAGACCCTCAATTCTGGAACCAGCACACTGCTCAGACTGACTGTGGGTAAAAAATGCAAAACTCCTCTGAACCTACCAGTCCGGATGCCTACTGAAAAGGATTTTTCATCGTTGGATGATTTCTCCCACTCCTCAATCCTCCTCCAGTGAAAAAAGTCCATTTGCTTGGCAGCAGGTCTGTCTGTCAGCCCTTCTACTCCAGTATGGCGCACGTCAATAAAAAGTACCTACTAATCTGGGCTCTCCCAAAGCCCCTTTAGAGCTGAGAGCCTGGCTTGGAGAAATGCTACCCTGCTTAGGCTTGCCCTGGGCTCCAGGGGAAGGGGTTAGATGAAGTGATACACCAATAATCCGTGATGCAAAGGGCATGGCCTGAGGAAGTGGACCCTAATAGCAAGTTACACAATTCACATTCAGGGGTATTTCCAAAGGGGTTGCAGAGTTTGCTTGGGTGAGAGAGCCTGAGAGCCTGGTCCAGCAAGCCGCCCAGCTGCCTATGGGAGGTTGATCCAGCTAAAAGGCTAGGTCCTCCCCAAACAAAGATGGAAACGTGAGTTCTATTCGGGGTGATTTTTATTTCAGATTGAGAAGCTACACAAAGAGAGAACAAATACACATTTCCATGATAGAAGGGAAAAAGAGAGAGAGAGAGCATCCTAATGTGTCACCCTCCTAATGCAACAAACCATCTCAACTCGAGCCACAGGACTGTTTTCTCCCCAGGCAGGCAGGGAGAGTTTTTTACGCCGAAGGGTGCATTACACAATAAACATCTGTAATATCTACCACAGGGTCACACACCCCCAGACACAGCAATATGGTCCTTTTTTTTTGCATACGTGCACATACATCTGTTCTTGGTAGATAATAAAAAGGCTGATACAGAGCCACATGGATCAAACCCATAGCTTTAAAAGAGGAACAGTTACAGACGTTCACAGGGACCAACACACCCACGTGGCACAAGTACTTACTGAACGGAGTGGTTACTCTAAGCACTAGGTTTTATCTGAAGGCAGATAGCTTTGTATCAGTGATACTGGATTGTACTAGAGCAGATGGCAGTGAATTTCAGAGTTCATCTGTCTGTCGTTTTATTAAAGTAATTAATTGAATGGCTTAGCGTATAAAAATACAAGAATCCTCCCTGCTAATTAGAGCAATTTGTGTTCATGTAGAAATAAAAGCACACACACGCATACACGCATCAGAGGCAGGATTGCTGACAGAGAGCTTACAGGATAAAGAAGTGAAACTCACTTTCCCTGCCCCACACCAGGACATCATGTGCTCCCTCCTGTCTCCAGGGACAATGGAATCTCTCACCTTTGGTGCATAGTTATACTGAAGAGCCAAAGAGCAACTTGGAATTTGTCCTGAAAGGAACCAGGACAAGGCACCTTTAAGGGTAATAAGGCAGACTGTATACCTCTGCTGCAGAAGGAGACTCCTCACGTCTTAGGGGTGGTCCTGCTGTCCCTGAATCTAGAGGGATTAATCAAAATCTAACCAAAATCTTCACCCTCATGGAGCGTGAGTCAGTCTCAGCTTGCTAAAACCAAGAAGCAATTGAGAAAAAGAGGCTCATCTCCCATTTAGCAGAGGTACGCTCAGCTATTTGTAGTGCTACACGTGGTCTCCATCTTGTACAGCACGTGCTTGGTGGATGACCTCACCGAAGCATAGTCGGGATAGTAACAGAGAGAGTCTAAATAAGACTATAATCTTAAAAGACTGGAATATTCAGGGATGGCAAACACATTACCTCCACACTGGTCTTCAGGGAAGTAATTTCAACAGAGCATCTACTGTGGGGCAGAGCAGGGAAGCAGCCAGGGCTGGGCTAGCTTGGTCAAAATTACTTGATTTATTAAGTGTAAAATGTCATTACGGTATTGCCTTAATGAAGTAGGGTGTTATTCAACCCAGCCCCTCCTCCGAAGTTGAAGCTACATCTCCATCCCCTCATAACAGGATGTGAGACAGTCTGTATCCTCACATGGGACTAGAATATCCTTAAATTTAATCTAGGTATTACAGGAGCCTGGTCCTGCTGGGGTCAGGGCAGACACTGCAAGAAGGATACAGAGAAGGAAAACTGATAAAAAAATTAGGAAGTTTTGCTTTTGCCTCAACACTGACCATCTAGGAAACACATTTTTCTTGTGGGAGGCACCGTGTCGTAAGAAGACTGTGAGCAAGGAAAATGCCTCTAGTTACAGCCAAGAAGTTTTTAAAATGTTCTTTTATTGCTGCTTTACTGAACATGAATATCTTAAGAGGGCCAGACCAAAACCCTATGCTGCTAAGGAGGTACTGCCTCCATCAGAAGTTCACAGGCAACTGAAAGCTCAGGAAACTACACTAATGCACACCAGTGAAGGCCCTGGCCCACCCATTTTGTGGCATTCCTTCTGGTTCTTAAAAAAGCTACAATCCAAACCAGTTAATATTTGGAGTACTTTTTATGGTTAAGCACAATTCTTTCTGTGGAAATGTCATCCATGGGGATCCAGACATATGTAAACAGTTTCCTTCAGAGATTCCCCTTGGTAATTTCTTTCTGCAGCATGTAACTGCAATTAACTTAAGTTGCACCAATGTGCCACATGCAGTTTAGCTTCAGTTACTAAATACATGCTTGCAAAAGAATGGTATTACTTTCTCAATGTCGTTATCAGAAGGAGCAAGCAAAAACTATCCTAAGGAACATCTAATACCAAATTTCTTGGTCTCTGTGGCTTAAAACCACACAGTTAGCTTTGCATTACCACAGGGTTGGCTCAAAATGAATTTCCTCATGTTGGTTCCTGTCAGTAGGCCTGCTTGCCTTGCAAACAGCATCTGTGGCCTTGGGAAACACAAGTATAAATGTTTCTGGAGCAGGACTTCAAGTAAGAGCAGTTGGTGTGCTGAAATGTCCAGAGTCCTCGCCTCCTGCTGGCATCGAGATCAATGGTTAAATCCAATGAGATTTCACAGCTGTTGATGACAGCATATCTGCTGACACCGAGATAGAATTTGGTAACAGTACCGTGAACTCTTGAATGACAGAGATTTTCTTTTTCCTTTTCTATTAAAAAACCCATCCTAGAGGGAAGAGAATTCCTACGTCTACACTTCTCCCCTTCCATCCCTCCAAAAAGAGAAGTGATCATCCTGCACTAATATGCTATTACTAGTCTGGTATCAATACTCAAATGTATTTATAACCCACCCCTATATGTTTTTAGAGAGGTGACAGTTGTTAGCTACCTTGGCTTTAGGATTCGAGATCTGCTCCTAGTCTGCTTGGTGACTCTTTGCATGACTCAAGGAAGCATTCTTTCACCTTTTTCTGCATGCATTCACTTCTGCAGCTGTGAAACGGTGTCTGCTGGTCACAAATGTCTGTAAAGACCCCATGCAGAGAACGAATACCACGTTAACATTAATTTCCCAAGCCCGTGCCCCGACGTGAAGACAGAGAGCTACAGGAGCCTAATAAGGCTCTTGATCACTTCTCATCAGACTTAAAATATTCAGTGGCAACTGTCTTAACGTGTAGCCCAATGTCTGGGAAAAGTTTCAAATCATTTATTGTATCCTTTTCCCTCCTCCCTGAAACTGAAATAGCAAGCGAACATGGCTTTCATCAAAATGCTCACATAGATAACAAGGTCTTCTTTGTCCTCGGAGAATAATGGCTACCATGTATTTATCTGAGCAGCATTTGTCCTAGCTATCCTGCAAGAGGAATGTGGGTCAATCCCTGATCCAGAACTGTACCGTTATTTCTATGTGGTCATGGCTAGCAGCCAGAAGCGGCTTACCAGAGCTCCACGGTGGCACGCTGCATGCTTCCTTGTTGCTCAGTGACCATGTGCTTCAGAAACAGCAGCACTCAGCAGTGCCTCTCCCTGCAAATCCTGGCCAGTCAGCCAGCAAGGATTTGCATCATCCCTGCTACATGCCAGACAAATGCCTGCAGTCTTTTTGATGCTCTCTGTACCAAAATGCCAATGAAAAGATGCTTCCTTCAGGTCTTAGCTTCTTTCTCCGCTTGCTTACCCTGTCTTCTGTGATGCTCCCTCTGCAACACTCCAGCTCTTTCTTCTTCTTCTGCACCTTTTTCACCCATACTGCCAACAAGACAACTTGGTCCTTTTAGTTGAAAAGCTCTTTCTTCCATAGAAACTAAGCTGTCAGGACTCCTAATTTAGATGTTGAATCCATGTCAGGGTCTGTTAATTTACCTGAAGCTAATCTTTAATGGCATGCCAGGTGTAGATGGAAGGAGGCAGAAATAACAGGGCACTGTGCCCTCCTTGACTAAATCACATCTGCTTTTGGAAATGCAACTCACACTGACACTAGTTTCCCCTGAATTAGCCCAGCAAAGGCAGGCACTGGATATTTCCTTTCTGTCACAAAGTCAGTCATACTCTAGCACAATGCAAGTCTGACTTCATGATGCATACTTTAATTATTTGATTCCTTTCATATTTTTGAAAAGTTCATTCTTATTTAAGATTTAGAGCTCTGTGTCCTAAGAGTGCTTTCCAAACACAGCGATTCACTATCCTCCACACTATTGCCTGTGAGATACAGGTAAGTATCTGTAAACTTAATTTACCAAAAGGAAGCACAGGCAGATTTATGTGACCTGCTTAAGTTTGTGCTGTTCATCTGTCACAGGATCAGTCACTACAGGCAGGACTGTGAGTGATTATGAACTGCCATGGTCCAGTTACCATCAATGAAGACGTGACATTTTTCCTTTAATGAGTTTGTCTTTTGGACCTTTGACTTCCTACCCGAGGCCCATTGCTTACTGCTTGTGGGAGGGTCAGCATTAAAAATTATGATTTCCAACAGGAGGATGCTTTCCAGTGGTTGCAGAAACGTGCTGTGCTACCAGAGGACCAGAGTGAAGATTCAGCCCTGATAGTGGACCAACATTGCAAATTTTTGCAGAATGAAGCGGTGGTTTTGTACTGTTTGCAAGCTCTCAAGGACATAACTGACAACATACGGCAAGGTGGTCAGCCACAAAGATACCAAGGCACTTGACTTGACTGAAGGAGGAACTGCCTAAATGCCTCAGTTTTCATTATTCTTGCTGTAAAATATAGAGGAACCACAGGAGAACGAGTCTAAGAATGGTGACACTGGCTCATGTCCATCTCTGTCACCGGCCACAACAAATGTCCCAGGAAGAGTATAGGAACAGAGCAAGCACATATAAAACCTTCCTGCCCCTCATACTGTCCCTGCAACCTCTTGCCACCTCTGGCTCAAGGCACTGCCTCTTCAGCCAGTAACAGGGCTGCCCAGAAAGACAAAGTAGAGGTTGTTTCACCAACTGATTTGGCACTTTGGCTGGCTCCACATTTCTGTTACATCCAAAGGACACAGTCCTGTTTGTCACATCCCTCCACGGGAAGCCCTGGATTTGGCCCTAGTCTGTTCTCAACACAAAAGGCATCGTGATTGCAAAAGACATCCCCAGAAGGGTTTAAAGTCCTTTGCAATTACTGAATCTTGTAGTGCAATTACCAACACACCAGCCGAGGCTCTGCTAAAGCTCAGTTCCTGGAAATAATGGGTCTTTACTGAAAATACCCTAATAGCAGCCAAGTGCTGGCACCCCCCATTGCTCACTACAGCTTTTCAGCAATCCATAGCCACATCCCACAGCACGGAACAAGCACCTTTCTCAGGATGAGAGACAGATATTGCTCCGCACTCTCAGATCAACTCTATAATTTGTTAAATCTCACAAACCTCTGGTGAGTTAAGGACACGAGCAAGGCAGAATGCAAACTACTTTCCCAAGGACCAGCTGGAACCCTCAAAACCTTGTCCACTCTCCCATTTACGCCTGAGCCGCCAATACATAAAACCAGCATAGAACATTCCAGGAAACGGGATGAGATCAGGCAGTGATGGATAAAGCATGGAGTGGAAAGCCAATCCTGGAAAAGAAGAAATAAAAGATGGTCCAAAACAGTCAAAGAAACCTCACTGAAAACGAGAAGGTAAAAGTGATAGAATAAATGGCATCGGAGACAAAATGGGATAGCATACACCAAAGGCTTGCAGACTGTTCTCTTCCATATTCCTCTATCTTTCTCCCAAAAAGCAATCACTGTCCTAGAGGGTAGGACATGAGCTATTGTAGACTGGTTTCGTAAGGAGAGAATTTGTACCTTCCGCAAAAAAGGCTAAAACTGGAAAGAAAAATAGGGTTTTCTAGATGGGATTTATTTCCTCTTGAAAGAAAAAGCAACTGACTACAGGTTTCCAATTTACAATCATGTTGGGATAACATAAACATACGTCTGGTCAAGAGATACCGGAGTTAAATACCACACCAGCACCAGATTTGTGGAGTGCCTGTGTGAGAGCAGAGCAGGTACTACTGGCTGCACCCCCTCAGCTCACAGCCTCTTGGAGTGAGGCTGCACGGGGACCTGAAACAGGAACCTCCCAGTGTAGCACATTGCACTGCAGGTCAAGGACAGCATCTAAAATGCACATTCTTCAACAGCCCTTTCATTTCCCTCACAGCGGCCTCACCTCAAGACCTTGACCACTTGAAGCAAATGACAAATCCATCTCATCAGGCTTTCAGTCAGGATTCACGTTGTTACAAGGGCAGTTGTTGAAATGTGCCACATTTTTTACAGTCCCAGTGTAAATACTGGATCTTTTACATTTGTACCTTAAGAAAAAAACATCTGAAGGCAGGTGGAGAGCCCTAGAAGATGTGGCATGGCCATCACAAGGAATGGGAACATCACACAAAAGCAAGAAATGTGATTTTTGACACAGATGACACAGAAAAGACCAAGGTGATGTTCTGACAAGCAGCAGTTACCCAGCGTTCCTGCTTCCATGGAAAACTCTGGGTTCCCTCTTGCTGTGCACGAACAACAAAAGAACTGGCACCGTTGTAAGTCTAAAGTGGGGCTTCTGTAAGATTACAGATTTCTGGCAGGTTCAAGACGCAAATACTCATGGTTCATATAAACCCTATGGCAGCTGTTTCCAGGAGTGTTGAATTTCCTTGGTTCAACTCCTGCCACGAGAATGATTTGACCTCCTTAAATCTGAGTGCTCTATCAAGCTTTACATGGAACTAGACATTCAGATTGATGCAAAACGTGGCAATCCACTTGTGGGGACTGGGAGAAGCATTCTTCAGCAAAGACCCTGAGCTTCTGAATTGCTATTGGAAAATACTAAGACGACTCTGAGGTATTTGCTTTAATTTACCATTTCCTGGGATCTACTGTCAGAAAGAAACTTGCCACAGCTACACACTGCTACAAGGATGAGGCACAATCAAGCTGCAGCACCAGAGGACAAAAACATCAGTACAGTAATAGCAAGCTGTTGCTTGTGAGGAAGCCCAGCCTTTGGACTTGCCCAGACAAGTACTTTTACTTGTGGGTAACAACAGCTCTAGGTGAAAAAAATAAAAATTGAGAAATGCTATAGTCCAAAATGGTGCTGTGACGCTTCATGGGAATTGCCATTTGAGGGCTGCCTGCTCTCGTGTCCTGATCCCAGCTGCATGTGTCGTGGTGAGGGAGAGTATCAGAGGAGCTAAATGTCTGACGAGGGATAAAATGCAACTACAGAAACCCAGCCCACAGGGAATAGTCATGATTTTCAGCTTCCTTGAAACATCCATATACTGCTTTAAAATCAAAGTATTTGAGATTCTGGTGCATTCAGATTTTTCAAAGAAATAATTAGACTTGTTTGGAAAAAAAAAAAAAAAAAAAGGGTTTTGTTGAAAACCATTTTTTCAAACCTCCAACATTTTTTAAAAAAAAACCTCTTATTTGTTGACTTTCATTGTCAGCTACAAAGTGCGCTTTTGGTTTCCTGAGTTGAAAGGAGTTGGGATGATTCTAATGGGAGGAAATGCAAAGTTTCAGTGGGTCTTGATCTGCTGAAAAATAAAACAATAAATACTGAGCAAAGGATGTCCCCAGAGAATTGTGTTTGTCTCCTTACATTTTGAAGATGAGCCAAGAAATGAACAAATTTTGTGGACATGGTTATAAACAAACTGGTTAAAAAGAAACTTCACCTTCAGTTTCTCAGTGGGCTGACTAATCCTTTCCTACTTTTGATTGTTTGCATAGCCCTGCTGCACATGATTAAACAGCCAGTGATGACGCACTCACTGTGTTTTCCCTCAGAGGTAGCCACATCTCATTCTGAGCGTCTTTTTGCAAAATTCATTGTGTCCCTTTACCAAGAAGGATGCTTTGCAAATGAAGGCTGCTGCTATGAAATTTGAGTTGCCTCTTCCTAGTGCCATGAACATAAACATCAGCAAAGGGGTATCTTTCTAAGACAGCTTCCTCTGAAGCAAGAGAGGAGAAGAAAAAGGGAGACTTGGCATTACTTTATATCAAAGCTAAGTGCAAATATATATTGCTGAATTAACAGTGTGGAGACTGACCATATGCAATCATCTTGCTAAAGTAGCCAAGGGAAAGCGTCACAAGTCCAGGCAAATCTTGGCATATGCACAGCCATAATTTTGTAATTATTTGCTGTCCAAAAAGCCAAGATAAATCAACAGGATCTTTGCAATGAGTTTGCCGGACTTTGTTCAGGTTTGGGGTGCAAATTCAGGAAGTATGTTGTAAAAGAAATAAGGTGGAGTCAGAATCCAGAAGCATTTGGCTCAGCCTCAAGCAAAGGTTACCATCTGCCACGAAGCATTACCCCGGCCCAGCACCACCCAAAATTACTAAATGTAAGCTGCTGCTAGAAGGACATTTATAGCAGGACCAAACTCCTAGCAGGAACAGGTACGCAGCTGTCCCAACACATAGAGATCACTGAACTACACGGGGTTACAAACTCACCTCTTCTCCTCCCCTTTCAAGCCAACACTCACGACTTGCCTGTCGTCAGTTCCCACATGCTGCGTGTTCAGATTTTTTCCTCCCCTGCGCAATTTTGCTGGAAGAGGGGTATGACTTAACTTGTTTGGAGTGACCCATTAAACAAACATGAGCAGGACATGGCGTGCTAGCAAAGGAGCACACCTGTTTTCATGAAGTGAACTGACTTCTTGATTTCTTGATATTGTTAAAGGCAAGACTCCTTCAGACATATTTATGCTGGACCAGACTACATTTTTTTCAGCCCCAGAGGGATTACTTTAACAAAATTTGTGTTTCCTCTGGATTTCTTCCTTAACAGCTTGGTTAGAGGAAAGGAGAAAACCGCTCCTTGATCTGCACAAAGACCTCCTATGTTTGGTCCCAAAGTTTAGGAGTTACTCATCACAAGGCAGGAAAGCTGCTGTGAGCTGCAATGCAGTGGGAGAACAGAACAAGGGTTGGACCCCTATAAGCTATTAACTCAGATATGAAACAAAAAATTTTAAAAACAAAGAAAAAGCTAGTTTTCAGGATATATTTGACATTTTTAAAAGATTGGAGAACAGGAGAGGAAAGGCAGTGGGAGAAAAATTTTGCTTCATATCGTGTCTGTAATGGTCGGCAAGTGTTTCCAGGACAGAAACTAAATTTAAGCAACATTTTCACCCACTCTGGAGTTTCTAGACTGCATCTCCATTCGAACAGCAGCACAATAAGCCTACTAATTTTTCCCTACAGAAAGCACATGCTGGGTTTGTCTACTCTCCCATCTCCAACCCTTATGAGCCTCTACTAACAGAAGTCTTGTTAAACCAGAAGTCTCGATGGCATTGTTTTCACATACATGTATATGTGTGTGCACATGCAACACATATACGTGTATACATATGAATTATCAAAATACTATTACAAAGCGCGTGTTCTTCTTCAGCACCCCTTCTCTGCCCACCCCACCTCCCTCCCTTTCCCCAGGCCAGCGTATTTCAAAACAGACCAGAACCGAAAACTTCCAAGAGCCATCCAGCTCTTGTTAGCACTGCAAACGTCTAGGAGCGTTAACAAGTCCCTGGTCCAGCTCTGGGACGCGTGTTGACAAACAGCTTCTAGTTCACAATACTGATTCCTTGGATTCAGGGTCTGCTGTACTGGTTGTGTTGGAGACTTGGTTTTTGTGGGTTACCAAAGGTGATGTTTCTTCTTCAGACTTGCTGTTAGCAACTGCTTCTGCGTTGACTTCTTTTAGCTCCTGCTCTTTGTTTTTCTTTTCTTTTTCATTCAGGTAATTAAGGATGCCTGCTCCTAGGGCATCCCCTTCCACATTCACAACTGTGGTGGTTCGGTCCCTGGTTAAGATCAGAAACAAAACACAAAGCAGCAGGCTTTTAGCTTAACAGAGTTACAACACAGTAACAGGAGCTGATTCACCCCTGCTGATCCACTAACATCAGTGGAGATGGGACAAGGGAGAGGTTGTTAGCATAGGTGTTTTCCACAGAAGTATCATCACCATTTCAGAGATAAAAATGCGCACCGGAGCTGGTTTAAGGTCAGCCCAACCAATACTATCAACTGGTTCTGTTCTCTCAGTGGGTTGCAGCAATGGTACTACTCTTTCTCAGGCATCGTTCTTTTCCCAGTGTACCTCCTTCCTCTTCCCCTATTCCAGGCTAGCATTTTACAAATGCAAGACCAGAGCAGGAACTTAATTTGGGCTTATTCAGCAGGTGATACAGAGCACTCAGCTCTCTTTTTTAACTATAAAGACTCGTACCTTAACCCAAACACCTACTTAAGAGGTCCTTCAAATAGCAGGCAGAATGACTGTTCTCTGGATTTCCTGCTAGTAGCACCTGTCCTAAATCTTTGGTCCTATAACACAAAACTGTGTCCCAGGGTTTAATGGAGGAGGTTTATGGGTCATAAAGAACAATTTCTTCACATGCCTTTGAGACTTCTATTAGTCATTCTGCAGCCTAACTTCAACATGTTCTCAACTTCTAACTGTGGTCCTCTGGTAATTAAATGGCTGGCATTAAAACAAAACACAGGACTTCCCTCTCTCCTTCCCCCTTTTGTCACCACAATGCCAAGTTCCTTGACTAGAACAACAGTGTTGACCACAGAGGGATGCTACATTTTTTGAAATAAAGGCAGCCAGCACGACACAGCTTGAGGACAGCCCAGAGCGAAAGGAAGGGCAAGCTTTTCCCTCATCTCCAAGCACTTGCAGGTACCGTTTGTGGAACCTACAGCTACTACTGTAATCCCTTAGGCAGATGAGATACAAAGGGCTAGCCACTGCTTTGCCTGTCTCTCCTGTCCTTTGGAGGTGGCTGATCCCCAAGAGATGACAGCAAGAAAGAGTTCGATGGCCCTAATGAAGCTGTAGGAATATGATTATGTTCCACAGACACGTGTGGTGTGGGAAGGGAAAGAGGTAATACAGCTGCTGCCTTCTCCAGCCTTTGGATTTCAAGAGTGTCCTCAGGCATCCTAATTTTCATATCTGCTGTGTTAGTACACCATCTATACAGAGAGGCTAGTGTTCCCAAAGAGCAATGCAGAGGGATTATGCACAGTCTAAACCAGGAACTGTCCAGAAACCCACCAACTAGGAAAAAAAAAAACCCAGTGGGATTCAGATCGCTTGACCCATACTGACCAGTCATTTCAGCCCACTACCCAACTTCAACCAGATGGCTTGAAAGCAGATTATGCTTTTAAATTATCAGATCATGTTTATTTCACTAGCGTTTAAAATCTAAGCATGCCAACATTCATGACTGCTCAGAGAAGTCCTTGAAGTTTGATTTTTTAGTATCCAAAGAAGAGCAGCCAGCCAGGCTTGTTAAAGGAAAAGCAGACACCTTTTTCAATGGGGCTCATCTAAGCTATAAGAAATCACCTGCATGTGGCATTTACACTCGTGGCTGGGTCCCCAATACTTAAAGCAAAACAAATTTTCTAGGCTTTCCTTAATCTAATTTAGGTGGTACAGAAGGTAAATTTAGGCCTTAACAATGACATGACTAAGCTAAGTGGTGAGATAAACTCTTCCAAACAGAGCTGGGCAAGGAGATAATCTCTCATGTTTCAAGGAGGGGAACAGCTCTTGGAAAGAAAAGAAGGAACTGAGCAAAGGTCTGACCTCTTATCTCTTTCCCAGAAGATGGAAATGAAAGATGGTAATCCTGTGTACTAGACCTGTGACACCCAGCAGGGTGTTCCAGACATGACACTGCCCACAGTTGAGTGCCACAAACCCTCTGTGTCCCTGCCCTGCCAATGGATGGCACCTCTCTGTGATGCTTGTGTTGGTGCTTTGACCAGGCTTGAACTATAAAAATAAACAACAGCTGACAACAGCTGCTGATGGAGACTGCTTCCCATATGTGGCCCAAAAAGCTTCCCACCACTTTTGAGACTCAGTTTCCTTTTTTCCTCCTTCCCTCCTAGTAACTAACTAATTTCCAGACTTATCAACACCTTCTGAATAAACTTTTAACAATCCTTCTAAAGGGAATTGAAACCAGGAAGAAATACGTTTCATTAAAGACTCTGTAAAAAAGCTGAAGAGGGATTTTTAGCACACTGCTTTAACTGAGAAGGGATCACCTTTTCCATTATCTATCAAGCACTACCTGTCCTGTAAGCAGCCATATCTTGTAAGGTTTTATTTTATACCACGCTACTTTGACTGCCCCATGCCCCGTGTTTCCAGCTGAAGGTGCTACATGTCATGCAACAGCAAATACCTGTGGCCTGAAGTACTTACACAATCCAGTCCACTGCTAATATCAAGGAGAGATCGTTGGTCGGAAGTCCAATGGCCTCCAGGATGATAGCGATGGTGAGGACTCCTCCAGCTGGGACACCGGCTGCACCCACGCTGGACGCGGTAGCTGTCACGCTGTAAATCAATTTGTGTGCACCCGGTTAGCAGGAGCTCCTCAGCACTCCTCTTCTACACTTAGGTCACACGTTTCCCTGCTATGGGAACTGTAAACAAGCTCTCCAGCATGGGACACACAGCTCACTTGCTTCCCAGACAAACGCCTTCCGGCCTGCTGATGCAAAGTATGGGTACAGAGCAGAGCTGCTCAGCAGGCATCCACAGCAGCTATCAAGGCAATGGCTCTGTGTTTAATACCATGATTGCCTTTTCAGAAAAAAAAAAAACAAAAAAAAAACCCAAAAAAACAACTAACACAACTAGTTCCTGCTGCCTTACTAATATATCCATTTCCAAGTCACGTATCAGTTCAAATATGCTGAGTACATTACATTTCCTGGCCTCATATGTATAAAGGTAGACCTTGCCATGGAGGGTACTGTCCCTTCTCTGTGTCTCATTTGCATTCAAACTGACCCTAAATCAGGAGCTGGAAAGCTGCAGTGCATGTGCTACAGACATGGACATGGACCACACACCTTTTCGTGTGCAGATGTCTGAGTCTTCCTCAGGCTATGACTGCATAATCCTCAGGCCTGGGTTAACATCTGATTCACTAAGAGTACCTGACAGGCTAATTTGGCCATCCACAAAGAAAATAATGACCCAGCGCAGCCCTAGACAAACAATATACCGGGCAATGATATAAGGAAGAAAATAAAACCTGGCCACGGAGGGTAAAAAGATGCCAGGAACTGGCCCTAGGAGGCATCTGGTAGACACAGCTATGGCTTCTCAGCAGTGAGGGGCTAGAACTCCTTGTAGGATACTCAAGGGATTTTGAGGAGGGAAATGGAGCAAATGACACTTCATGGGATATGGGAGGATATTCCAGGCAGGGAGGGGAGAGGGTCCTAGAGAAGGAGGCAGGACTGAGGTGGTGGAGGGGATAATGGAACAAAGCAGTCAGGAGGGGAACGATAATGGGTCTGACCTGGGAAGCCAGCAGTGCAATGGTAGGAAGCGCAGAGGTAAGTAGGAGCAGAGTCTTTAGTATGAAATTAATATAAAAGGAACTGAGGAGCTGGCAGAAGGATTTTCTAAGACATCCAGAGGGGGAATCAGGGGTAGCAGTCTGGGTAGAGCAGCATGCCTCAATTACCCAGCTTAATGGTGAGTGGAGGGTGGGGGAGTGAGATGCTTAAGGAAGGAGAGGAATTTTGTGTGAGAAACAGCTTTAAACAGCTCAAAGTCTGTTTCAGAATTCAATTACCCCTCCCAGGTTCCACCTTTTATTAAATCGAGATTCTGGCAAATCTTATAAAGCTTGAAAGACTCCATCCTTTAATCACCCTATAATTATGTTTCATAGCAGTTTGCAAGCTTTAGGTCAGAGATGTGGAATGCAAACTGCTAGCTATTAACAGAGAGACCACAGGCTTGAATTTGTTTGGGGGCCAGAAGGATGTGGTTGCAATAGCAAGCAACTTACAGAATTGTGAAGATTTGCCCAGGGTTGAGGTCCACATTGTTCAGCTGAGCAATGAACACAGCTGCCATGCACTGAAAAATAGCAGCTCCATCCATGTTTACCGTTGCCCCAATAGGAAGGATAAACCTGCTGATCCTCTTGTCGACTCCATTGTTCTCCTCAATACACTTGATCATTGACGGGAGAGTGGCTGAGCTAGAAACAGAAAATAGGGAAAAATCAAACACAAAGCATCAGGGTGCACTGAATGGAAGGTCACTGTCTCGTGGCTTTCATGTTTCTAACATGCTGCAGACAGGACTGTCAAGACAACGATGCCATTTTATAGTCCCTCTCTGTCATAACAGAAATGAAAGACATTCCTTGTTGGTCTCAAGCAGCGGTATTTAATAATCTGCATCCATACAGAAATAGCTGATAAGAACTCTAATCTCCTAGAAGCAAGAATTCATGACCTACGACAGTATGCAGCCTAACAGGGCTGTGGAATGATCAAGTCCAAACCACAAATATACACCAACAGATGACAATATAAACACCACAGATGCAACAGCAATCTCTGTTACTGTTGTACTAGTACCTTCTTAAGCAAACAAATAGTAATAATAAAAAAAAAAAATCACTGTTGGATTTATCGCATTATAAATTACATAGTTTTATTCATAAACCCTCTCCTACTTCATGTACTTCAGCTTCTCTAACAGACATGCATCTACTTTTGGAGATGACCTGAAATGATTTTATATAGTTATGATATTTGATCAGGTGTTTGCCCCTTGAGAAAAGTGTAAATTACATGCTTGATAGTTTGGTTATGATGAATAAAAGCTGATCAGGCCAGATCTTTGAAATCAATAATGTTAAGTCCCTTTACACTAGCAAGTAAGTCTGCTTTGCTCCTGCAAAATTAGTCTAAATTTCTTCCAGATCCTTCTGAACTTGAAGAACTGAACTTCTCAGGACCAAGTCCCTCACTATTGACCCTCACTTTACTTAAAATTAAAAGGACAGCTGGCATGACCTTTTTAAGGCAAATACTTTTACCTTTTCCCCAAAAAATTTCCAACTCGGCATCATGCTACAGTCCCAATATTTTGAAGAATTGTTTTCAACAGATAATTATCAGTATGAGCTGTGTGCCAGGCTGCTGACAGCAGTGAGACTCTCTACGCTCAGAAGTCTCTCTTCTCAATCTCAGGAACAACATTCACACCTAAAACTCAACACAGTTTGGTGTTGGGATCTAACCGGTTTACAGCGAGAAATATAACCATACTATAATCCCAAAAGAAGCGTAAAAACCCACCTGGAGCAAGTGGCAAAAGCAGTGGCAAGTGGTGTGACAAGTCCTAAGAGAAAACGATATGGATTTTGACGTGTGGATACAAAATAAATAAGTGGCAGAATAATTCCTCCATGGATGAAGTGGCCCAGAATAGAGGCGAAGATGTATTTTCCCAGACTGGTCACCAGAAGCACAATATCTTCCATTTCCACAATCTTGCTTCCAACGAGGAACATAATGCCAATAGGTACATACCTGTGTAAAGAAATATTGCCTGTCATTAAGGACAAATAAAAAGTCTTGAAAAATATGCCATTTTCTGTCCTGGAGATAACATTCTTCTAAAGAATACACTGCTCCTACTGAGGGGTAGCACCTTATTCACCACACACTCAGTTAAGCAAATTTGGAAGGCCTCTCTAACACTCTTGCTTGGTGGAAGGCAAGCAGTCAAACTGAAAAAGCTCTGTTCACCTACACCCTCAAATAGGCAGCTAGGAGAGTGCCAAAGGAAGCCAAGCGAGAAGTAAAATTGCTGGCAGAAACTATCAGAACAAGACACTGGCGTGGAGTTTTAGTCCATCAGGGAGGAAGGCAGGCAAAGACCTAAAGCTAAAGTCACTGCTGAAAGGAGAGCTTATAGTAGGAAGGAAAACAGAGCAGTATGATGTCACTGGAGCAGAGAAAGGGGTGGAAGAATAGGATTTTACACATGCGGTGACTACCAGAAGTATGAAGTTAGGTCATTAAAATGGCAGACATACTGGGTGGCCACATATTCAGCGTAGGAAAGAAAAAGCTATGCTCATACCAGAGAGCTCAGCTCAAGGCTGCCGATGCATGTGCCAAAGATAGCACTTAACTCTGCTATTTGTCTACAAAAGACTAAGTCAAACGATCAGCTTGCAGAGGTTCCCTCAAGCCAACAGCCACGTACACGTACATTCCCATGCCTCCTATCTAGAAACATGCCACGTCTCAGGACGTCAGCATTTGTTTGAGGTTTCCTTTGTCAGGAACACTTGGAGCTGCTCCAGGGAAGGGGCCACCTGCAAGCCACAGCCACGCCTCTGGTCCCAGAAGTGCAGCTGGGAACAGCCCTGAAAAGACAAAATTGCCCTTGCACCTACAGCACAACAGCTACTAAATGAACTGCAGGAATCACTCCAGTCCCAGGGTCAGTTCCTTCAAAGCCCTACTTGAGATGTCTGTGTCCGAGTACCTCTGCTGATGCTGTTCATGCTCCATTCATTTCTGCTTCTAAGATTAAGAAATACTAAAGGATCGCCCAGCTCTCCAAAACCCTGCTCCAGGCACGCATGTGACTACAAAAGATCTGCCTGTACCTCTCAAGAATAAAGAATGGTTTTTCTCCCACTTTCCCCTCCAACCCCATGCCCATGTTCAGACAAGCTGATCTGTGGAGTCAGGACAAACTTCAGAAGGTTTGGTTAAGCATCACTCACTTTTTCCTAACCTGCCTCTCCCTCAGTGATTCTGCAGCTCCTCCGTTGTGTGCAGAGAGCACCTCCTCATGTCCCAGATCAACCTCTGTCCTCTTCTGGCCAAACCCCTAGGGGGGCCTGTTGAACCTTCCCCACGTAGCCTCTGCCAATTCTGCCACGCATTGCCTTTGAACTACATCTCTGAGCACCCTGATTAGCCACATCTAGCTGAGCCCCCGTCCCGAACAAGCTCTGCAAACTTGAACACTGGATTCAGAGCTAAGACTGGATCCCTTCCCTTGAAGAGGGAGGCTGGGGAGGAAGAAACTGAACGTTGAGACCAAAGTGCTGCTAAACACGAGAGCGGCTGTTGAATGGGACTAGGTATGAGCTCAAGCTGCCTTTTCCCTTGGTAGTATGATTTCAGCCAGTCCAAAATATCCTTTGGGAAGTACATGCAGCTTGACAGATCTTGAACAAACACCAAGATGACACAAGAGCCTTAAAGAGGGAAAGAGGACAAGGTCTACGGTGCTCTGCGGTGTTAAGAGTCAGCTGTGGTCTCGATAATCCACAAAGTGAAGGATTATATACCAACTGATTGGCTTGAAGTGTTAGCACTGTAATCAGCTGAATACAAGAACTGCCTCTTACCAGTATTCAGTGTCCAGGGAATTATACTCAAGCGTAGAAGACTTAAGCTGCTTTGAGACTGAATTTTTGAATCCTTTACGACAGCAACTAACACAGAGATCTGCCTGTGCAAAATGAGGTATTTTGTTAAGGAAAATGCAGAATGAAGGGAGAAAAAATACCTCTGCTAAGGTAAGCCTATAGCTTTTCCAATAGCCGTGGAAAGGGAACGAGAAATAGCCCACTGCTAACTTGTTAGCTAGCTGTCCTTATGAATATCTTTAGTTTTGCTTGTGAGGCATTAGTACTGCTGGTTTCTAGGAGCAGCCTCGATCCATTCAACTGCACAAGAATAGCCATGATACTGCTTTGAGGCCCAGATTCATCCTACCTGACAGAAAACCCAGTCGGGAGGCTGGCCCTACCCTATCTCAAGTGGCCTGAACCACTCTCTAGAGGTGCCTGCCTCCTCCAAAGCTGTTTTTTTGCCTAGTGAGAAAGTTCAAAGCACTCCAGATCCTAACATACAGACTTTTTTTTGGTGCCAAAAGCTTTGTGACATAGGTCAGAGCAACATTCACCCCATAAACATGTCTGGACTCCAGGGAAGTAAGTGAAATAATGGATTTGCTCATTAGTAGACAGGAGACAAAATAAACAATCAACCGTAGGAAATACCTACTCTCAGGGATGTGAAATGGAAGAGATAAACATCTCCAGAGAAGCAAGCACAAACAAGAAAAACAGTTGATCGCTCTGATAGTAACATTAGTTCCTGCTTCACCCAAGAAAATGAAAGAGATCTTAGAAGAGGAACAGAGATTTAAATATCCACTGTATAATTTAGGCTCTGCTGATAACAATGACAAAACATTCAATAGCCAGCACTACTGTTTCAGCAGGAGGGAGAGCATAGCCCTGCAGACTGTTCCTCCCTTCTATACAAAGGGACATAGGTTCTCCATCACCTTCTGATGCAAGTGGACAGATGGGGATCTGTATTTATGCACTCAACAGGGCTTCTCTCAAACCAATACCGGCGAGTGGGCTATCTTCTGATCTCCTCATATATCTTTCAGTACAAGTAACCTTTTGACCAACAGAAAAATCAAGGCATGAAGCTACAAGTATGATTTTAGTTACACACTGCATTTGCAAGTGCATTCTGAACACAAACATTCCTGGCCTTGACATGACCATATTCCTCACTTGCTCACATCTCCTTTATCCACTGAAGGCCAGTGCCTTTAGGCACATGATAGCAGCTAGCCAGGGGCTTATGCTGCTTTGAAATAGAAAGCCTCCTTTCCACTAATTAATCAAAAAGGAGTCCTGGAGAGGATTTTTAAGCAACCCTCTGAAGTGTTCCAGACAGATAACCTTCAGCTATGTGTGACTGTCCAATTACAAGGCACAAGCAAGAAGAAAAACCCCACTGTGTGACAATGTTACATTCACTTTTGCTGTGATGAGGGATCTGGTAGGAGAAATCTGGAGAGATGGATAAAAGGTGAGATTCCTGAATTGAGCATAATACTGTACTGCAGATGTATCTGTAGTCACACACTCACCACATAATCCAGGAAACCAAGACCATAGTTGCCTCATTGAATGAATTGAAGAAGCGAATCAGATCTTCCCCTTCCCGGCCAAGTTTTTTCAGCGCCACTCCTAAAACCAGAGCAAACAACACCAGTCCCAGGATATTCATCCCTTCAATTTCAGTACCGACAGGGATCTGCAGAGGCAAAAAAAATAAGGCAGCTTGTTAGATATATGTGAGACTGGCACAAAACCCAACAAAAGGGTCACCTCATTTTGTTGCTGCCTGATTGATCTAAAATCAACAAGTAGAACCTATTTTGGGAAGAGACAACCTATTTTCTCGAACCAAACAAGATCTGGACGCAGTCTAGATACAAACCTCCCTAGTTATGAGCTGGCATGGGTTCACTGGAGAAGGCAAGGTCCTGCCACTACCTTCCCTCATGCCCTTCAATATCACACGTGTGCTCTCAGTGAACTGAACAGGAAACCTCCCCATTTTACCCAGGACAAGCTCCACCGCAGATGCGAAACAGCATGGGCACCAATCACACATGTGCAGTTAAAAGACTGAAACTTTCCTCCCCGTTTCCCCACAAGGGAAGATGGGTGTGGGAGAGACCGCAGGTATAAAGGGCAGATACTGGTGATATTGGCTTCCTAGATCTGCTTTTCCACCAAGTGTCGTTCACTGTCAGCACTATGATATTCCTACCACCTAAACAAATCATACCTACAAGAGGCTTGCAGCAGTCTGGCCCCAAGCATGCTCTTATTTCCTGACACTGCTGATGGGAATCCGCTCTCAGAAACCACCAGGTCGCTTGCTTTAGTGCAATATTTATGTCAGGGTGAAAATCACGAGAGAAAACAACCAACGTTATGAAGCGGAAAGTGTGGAGAGGGGCAGAGAAAGGTGGCAAACTGGGGAAACCTACTCATTCATCTATTCACATCAGCTGTAGGAGATACAGAGAGAACAGAAGAAATACCTGTTTCCCTTCTCAGAAATCACGTGGCTGTGTGGTAGAAGACGATAAAAACAGGATCCACCTATTGACAAAAACTAGTCTACTCACAAGTCTGCTCTGCTGGTCCTTCATGGTTTGTTTCTCAAAGAGAGTTGGAGCTTATTTGGCAATGTAGTATAATACGAACTGAATGAGTATTCTTGGGCCTACATAAAAATATAATTGTTTTGACAAACTGTTTTTTTTCCCCCCCCCCAACTTGGCAGGACAAGCTTAACATGTGAAATATTTGTTTTATTTGGAAGGACTTCTAAAACAGATTAGGTTTGTGTACAACTTTTGGCCTTCTGGCTAGTTTAAGCAGACACTAGCTCAACACTAGGAAAGAAAAATATATTCTGAGCTAAAAAGCTTGAAATTAATATTGACTAAAGAACTAGGGATACTGATCTGCTAAATCTGATAAAACCAGCCTGCTTGAGATGTTTTTGCTGGATGTATACCACTGAACTGGACTGTATCTTAGTGGCAGGTGGAAACAAAGTACTGCATGGAAGGGGATAAAACATAAGTTATACACAAAAGCATGAAGGCTAAACTGCTGTTAACAAAAGCATTTACAAACAGTGAAGGTCTGGCTTTTTTTATTTGCTAGCAACAAAACAATTAGATATAGAATCTGCAGGTTTTTTTATGGTGGCTGCTTGTTCAGGGCTAAGTTGTCGGTATGTATTTCATTTTCAGTTGAAAGAACTGAAAACATGGACAGTATATTAAGAATGGGGCGCAGTGCATCTCCAGAGACGTCTGAAGAAACGTGCTGCTTTCTCCACGTGTAGTAACACTTTTCTCTCTGGATAGTTTTGTCTAGGTTCTGTTTTGTGTGCCTAAAAGCCCTAAACTCTTCTGTGGTTAGAAAAGTTAGACAAAAAAGTGACACCTTTCTATTAACTGAATAAATTGTCTGTGTAGATGACATGCATATGTTTTTCTGTTTTTCACTTCTGTTGGTAAAACATAACTCTAGGGCAGGAGAGAAAGTTTACCATAAAGAGATTTTACCAAAATTTCAGTGACAATTTATCAGTAACAATGTACATATCGATGTGAGTCTCAAATTTTATGACTAATTTATTAGCAGGAAGAAAGTAAATGTGTAAAATAATGCTGCCATGTCATTTCATCAAAACCAAAGTGCTCTCTGGGAAATGTCAACTTGGGCAAAATGTGAACATTTTTACATCAGAAAAGAAACAGTTCATTCACATAGAGTAAATGCAACACTTTTTCATTTTGACAGAACTCTTCACCTCGTTTGGGGTTTTTTTTCCAACTCATTATTTTATATTATAACATCTTGTATCAGGTTCATTTAATACAAGGCTATATGAAAAGTTCAGCTTGGAATAGAATTTTACCATAAAGAGCCCAAACTTTTTCCACAATAAAAATACCCTAAAAACAATGAATGCTCTTTTGCTTTGGTTCTCATTCAGAAAAAAAGAGATATCAAACTTTGCTATGGAACAGAACTTCAGTGTTTCAAGCCGCTGAAAGTGCCCAGCATCCTGACCTGGATGTTACTGGGAGGGAATTTCATTATACTACTTTATACTGATGTTTTGCAAAGCATCTCCACCCTTTAAACTCCTACTGGAGATCTGCTTCTCAGCTCATTAAATGCAGCAGTGTGAGCCTGAAGCCCAGCAACCTGCTACCATTTGGGCTTCTCAGAGATCCAGTCTCAGGAATGAGGCAGAAGTGTACTGAATCTGCAGGAGGATTGTCCAGCTTCCCACCAGCTGCATAGGGCACACAGGGTCACAGAGGACAGAGCTTGGGGGACACACAGGAGAACCAGGGCCAGAGCTCCTAGTGCTTAATTTGGAAGGTCACTTCCCTGACTAGAGATGCCCAGGGCTCTTCTAGGTCATTCAGTCCCCACAAGCATCAGCTGCTCCACCTTCTTCAGAGCTACGGGTGCCAAAGGCTTGCCAAATTTTGTTGTTGGGAAGCTGGAGGAGAGCAAGAGATAGTAGTGTCCTCAGTTAGCTACAGGCAGGACACAGGTGGCTTCTCACCTTTCATCTTAACCTTCACAGTGGCCTACTGTCCATCAATTGGCCAACTCTCCTCAAACTCCCCTGTACCTCTCCAGAATGACAATACACAGAGTTTAGTCTTCTTTCACCCTCGGAGATGTCTCGCTCCACCCTGCTCCTGGCACTGCGACCACTGCTGCTGCTCTTCTCCAAGTGCTCACACTTACTAGTCCTTCAAGCCTAGGTCCTGTGATCTGGGGACGCCTGAATTCTGGCTGACCAGAGGGAGGACTCCATGCACAGCCACCAAAATCTTCTTAGCTGTTTCCCTCTAGACACTGTCATCCTGTGGCCCCTTTCAGGTCCTGCTCTCCCTTTCTTCCTCGACCCAATTTCTTTACAACATGCAACATTCACCATCGCCTCCCACCGCCACAGATGTGGGCAGAAGGTGCATCGCTTGCATGGAATAGCAACTTACTGCAAGAAACTGCTCCCTGAAAATCAAGGGAACAATCTGCAGCCCTCAGGGAATTTCACCTCCTTGCAGCACAATATGGAAAGAGTCCAGCAGTAAATCCTCAGCAGAAGATCCTCTCAATCCCAGCCTCTAAAACTGGCAGATGCTGAACAGACTTTTTGTACCTTAACAGAAGAGTGCATCACCCCAAAGGCGCTGCCAAACCAAGCAGCACTGTGGACACCAAACAAAACCAGCTTTAATGAGACCTTTGTTCCTGGATAAACTATGGGACGCCTTGTTGTTTGCTTGAAACTATGTGTTCTGGTAGGAAGATTCATGGAGCTCTTCTGGTCCTTGAATTTCTCTGAAGATACTATTGTTTTTTAGCTCTTGAAACAAAATGCTTATCATGGAAAGAACTGCTGACACTGAGGTGTCCCAGTAGTAGGGAACTGAAAATAAAATGCAGCCATGTGATGTGAGGAAGAGGAGCAATCGCCAGTTTGTGTATTTTTACTGCTGCCAGAAGAGGAATTCAAGAGTCCCCCCACAACCTCCCTGTGCTGCAGATGGGAAACTCAGATAGTCTGTGCCCCAGGAAGCCTTGCTGCTGAAGGGACAGAGAGGATGTAACCATAAAAGCTAGGTAAACATGAGGGGAGCATGTGAAACAACAAAAAGGATGTGGCTGAGCAGACATCTACGTGCTCCACTATTCATATCATCAGCAAGAGAAGACGAGGCCTATTAACCAGTGGGGGGGGAAAAATGTAATCAATGGAAAATTTTGCTCTACACTATTCATATGGAAAGTAGAAGGAAAACATTTCTCCTCTTCAACCAAATATTCTGGTGATGAAAGAAAACATTAGATAGGAATATCGTCTTGTTTCCCTGGAACCCAACTTCTATCACTATGATATTTATACTATGTATTACTCAAAAAGCATATTCTTCCTTACCAAAATTAACCCTCATCTATCCACAAATAATATGGTCTGACCAGTACTGAAACGGAGATGATGCTTTCTTTTTATTTGGTCTGCTCTTCCCTAGAGACAGTAGGGCGTCCTCTGGAATTCAAGAAGCTGAGCTCTAGTTTTGTTCCAACAACTGAAGAAAAGTTTTGGAAAATTAATAGCAGAAATAACTTTTACATCATAACTGCTGGCAAAAAAAAAAAAGGCACTGGTGACAAATTCAGAGTATTTTTTCTGATATTGAATCAAACAAGAGTCTGATAAGTGGGAAAGTAGAGAAGGAAACTGAAAAAGAAGCTCATGTTTTAAATAGCCGAAAGATGCACTCTTTGCCTCTTGAGGAAGAGTGATGGCTTTGAACAAGCATTAAAAAAGTACCAGACAGCCAAGCCTATGTCCAATGGATATGGTTGGCCCTGATCCGTGCTTGGTTGCCAAGGAACCCCTATCAAACTTGACACTGAAGATGAATAAGAAGAGTCTTCTTCACCTTTTGTTTAACCCTGCTTAAATGAAGAATAACTCTACTCTGTAAGCAAACACACGTGTCTAAGTGCACATCATTACAGCCTTTCATATTGAACTTGGTTTTTAACAGCATGAGGCTGCACGGGCACGTACTGCCTGAGGATATAATGGCCGAGAAGAGAAAGTGCTGTTTTGGGATCACACGGCCCTTCCGCCGTCACTGCCGCGCGTCCGTGCCGGATGGGGTGAGCGCAGATCTGGGCTAATGCAATCACACAGGCACGGGCAGAGCCTGGGCAGGGGGGGCTGCCTGCTTCCCTGGGGAAACCGCTAGCCGGGGGATAGCCGGCTTCTAGGAGAGGGCTGACTTTTCCCCTGCTCAGTTCCTGTGCCACCCGAGCCACCCGTCGCCCTGCCGCTGGGGCTGGCGAAAGTTCAGCCCGTCAGCCAAAAGCAGAGTTGAGAAACAAGCTGTTCTGCATCGCCTGCTCACGCACCACACGCGGTGAGGAGAAGGTAACAGGGCCAGCACTTCCTGTGATCAGAGATATGCTTCAGCATCCCTCCAGATGAACATAAACTGCTTTTTCCTCCATGATTTTACAGACCGGTGGGCAAGCCCCAGATGAGCCCTTCCATGACAAATACAAGCCTCTTGCCCTAGGGGCATTCAAATTAATTGAATTAAAAATATAGTAACCCAGCATCCAGTTGGGATGACTGATCTCAGATAGTCAGAATGAGCCTGAGAAATACAAAATAGTCCAAAAAGTCATTGCCAGTCCCAGACCTGTCTCCCCAAAATCCCATGAAAACACATGAGATACTTCATTTGGAGTGAGGTGACACATCACAGGGCTGGGATACCGAGTCTGTTTCACAGCATGCTGCCTGTAAGACAACTGTAATTCTTGCTGGACCTGCAACATGTTGGCTCTGGCCAATAATAAAGATGTTTGATAGCCCCATCCTGCAGGAGAGATGCCACTCAATGGGATACAGAGCATCTCTGAAAGTCCTACAAGCTACACATGAAAGATAACACTCTCTACCCCAGTTACACCTACAAATTAGTTTCCTTTGACACCATTGCAATAGCAGCCTATTTGCAATGTTCTGTCAATAATCTTCACTCCTTCAGACCACTTATTACTGCTTCAAACAAAATTTCAGCAGCGTGGCAACAAGAAAAAATGCTCAACTAACCCCTTTTTTTTAAGAGCCTTGGGTAGTGGAAAAAAAGCTCATTCTCTCCAAACTGTTAATGAAGAGTTAGACTTAAGGAACATATTCAGCCAGCCTGATTGCTATTTAATTCCAAGTCTATGGAGTTACTTGGAAACATCAGGCAGTGATTAATCAAAACTCAGATTGAGTGAGACCAAGTCTAAGAAATCATGGCCTAAAAATAAGGACAGATCAGTTGAGCCTAAATCTTTTATCCATTGTAGCTTTCTTGTGTGGCTGTGGGTAACTCATCTGGTTGGTGTGTGTCTCAGTTCCAGGCAGAGAAAAGTACTTGCTTCTTTTTAATGACTGATGGAGAGGATTAAAGACTGCGAAGCAGTCAAATATTACAGCTGATAAGTGTTTGTATAAAAAAATAAGATGTGACCTTACCTTTTCCCACGTGACGTTTCCAGAGGTAGTATTTCTGAGCAGCATCTTATATTCTGTGGCATACTGCAGGTAAGAAAAAACAAACAAACAAAAACCCCACTGTGGCGACAACCCACCATGTTTGCCGATCAGATCATCAAGATGATCATATCACCCAGCATTTCACAAGGAAATTACTGTTAGGAAGACTTTTTCTGGAGAACATACTGTGGAGGCTAACGAGCCTATCCTGCACAGGAAAAAGGAGTGACAGCATATGCAGCTCCTTCCCCATGTGGCAACAGAGAAGTGCTCTGTGACCCCTGGGCTCCCAGGTTTGGGCAGCAGCTGAGGAATTTCCCTTTCCTCCACCCTGATGTTGCTCACACACCACACTGTCACACGGGCCCCTGCAGAGGCAAGTGGCACCTTGTGCCATTTCACCGTTAGAAATGGTGGAGTAGGCAGTAAAGCTGTCAGTAAAACATCTAAAATCTAGGGCAATCGTTTGCTTTGATAAATAAGCTAGACAGCTCTCAAAAGCAGAGCACTTCTTTGGGCTTGTTTTCTTTAGGTATGAAATAGGGGAAAGAAAAGCCAATTACCTGTGACAAGAGCAGCACAGAGGAAAGGAGGCCTTCTTTATTTCATTCCTGAACATACAGAACTCTGCCACTTGAGGTATCACAGAATATCCTTTTCTTAATGACAGTTTTGTACTGATCCTATTTTTATTTATGGCATGACTTGTACTGTATTATATATACACTCAAAATGGAACTTGATTTTAAGAGTTTGACCTTGGTTTTAATACAAAAGCAAACCCACAGAATACCATGAAGGTAAAAGCTATTATTCTGCTCCTGTATCATAAAGAATCACTCTGCCCCGTAACAATACTCTCAACAGTGTCTACCCTGACATATAGGATTAGCAGTAAGAACTAAATCAAAATTTTCTTGGAGCCCCACAGCTCCTGTCCATCAGTTTAAGCCACACTATGTTCTGGTGCCAGTTATCATCCTATCACACTTAGTCCTCTGTCAGAAGAGAAGCCAGGCTGAGCAATTAATCCAGCAAGGGATACAATGGAAAATACTGCATAAAAGCATCAGGCAACAGGTAATACTTACACACATGGGAGACTAAAAGTCTTTGGCCTTGTCTGTTCTGAGCCCAGCTCCAAACTATGTACCCAAGGGTTTCCTAGCTAGCTCCTGCAAAGTGGTAAGCAGCCTGGCACAAAGCAGAGTTGCCACTGCTGCCCAACATGGCACCCAAAGTATAAAAGTTTAAAGAACATTTTTGGTGGAGGTACAAAACATAGGCTACAAGCATGCTTTTGTTTGAGGAGTATTTTTCAAAATCAAACCATTTGCCATGGTAGTTATATGTTTGATTACGTCAGGTGCTTTTAAAAATCCCACCTACTAAAAGTAAATTAACTTTTGGAATTTACTTCACAATCTTTCTAGTCCTTTTCCAAAAAGGAGCAGTCACTTTGTCTGTCTGTACACTGTAGCTCATGTCCAAAGTCCACCCATGTCTTACCGTCCGGAAAGCTGCAGCAACAAGATTTGCAGGAAACAGGTTTCTGTAAAATACAAACAAGAAAATTAAATATTTCTTGTAGAACTTCTAAAACAAACGCACCAAAGTGTTCTGCTCTCAGAAACTGAATTCCATTTGCAAAGGCAAGCATACTGCCATTAGTGAGGTACACACTACAGAAGATAGTCTGGCAACACAGAGCAGATGTCCTGCTACAACTCCAGAAGTGTGAGTGGCATTTTTTTTCCTCACATGAAAAAGGTCCCTGCTTGTCTGCCACACCTAACTCTTTGGGTAGGGACACCAGAGGCAATCAGACAGGATGCTAGTCATACCCACCCATCAGTCAGTGGCTACAGAAACCGGCTTAGCCCCACCATCTGCAGCAACAGTTTATGGTCTCCAGGGTCAGGCAGATTTTTAACATTACTCATGCGATTACACTTTGCTCACAGCATCAACATGAAGGACAATCCAATCAGCAAAATCCACTTAAGAGAACGGCTTAACCCTTCAACACAACAAGGTCAGCTTCCCTGAACACCGAGGTAAAGCAGAACAATGTCACAGGCCAGGGTTGTCTGCAAGGGCTTAAGCAGTTAAACAGCACAGATGAAAGTAGGGGCAGCTCATATGGAAAGCTGCAACATCTGAATTCGGTAGTGCCCTCCTACAGAAACGCAAATCCAACATCACGTTTGTGCAAAGAGGATAGCATGCAGTGACATACACTTCTAAGGGGCATCCAGTGTATATATGCATCTATGAAGCAACAAGAAAAATGGTTAGCTGGACCACATAAGGAAAAAGTTGCTTCTTGTTATATTTTGTAGTTGGTTTTAATGCTATGCTTCCTTCTTCCCCTTATGGTGGGCAAAGAGCATGCGTTCCCCTAGCCAAACAGCAGCTTTTTTTTGCTGTGTCAGAAAGCAAAATAGGAATAACAGTTGATCTCTGGGGTCACAACACGACCCTAGCCGGCGAGGGCAGGAAGGCTAGAGATACAACCTGAAAACACTGCCAGCCAAACTCATCCAGGAGGCATGGCAATTCTTATGGTAAGGAAATGTGATAAATAATAGAAGAATTTTGCTTTCGCTAAAAGTAATTAAACAATTACTTTTATTGAATTGGGCTGAAGCTATTATTAGTACAATGATACAAATTTTAAGAAAAGTAAAATAATTTACTAGTGGGAAAAGAGAAGGGAGGGGGATTGATCAGAGGAAACAGCAACCCAACAGCCCCCCCTTTTTCCTTGGGAATGCTCACCAGATGATCCATATCAAAGGATGGTAACTCCTTTGCAATGGAATGAGAAAGAACATGATGGGCCCTCTCTGTTACCTCTTGTTCTTGAGATAAGAGAGGAACTGAAAACACTGAGCCATAAAGACAAAGGAGCTACAAATTAGCCCAGACTTGAAGGACAAGGTGTACGTGACCACAAGACTGAGTTTGCGCAGAAATAAGGGTCAACGAGCGAACACAGTGAAGAAGACTACGAGCCTTCATCTGCAGACCCCTGCCCACGGCCACCAGGGAGCACTGCGCAAGCGCGGCGGGAGGAATTTGGGTTGGGGGGATATGTTAATGATTTCTCGGAACTAATTGAAATATTCCCTCCCTATCCTTAGAAGTAGTGATGCGTATGTATTAGAGTAGATGAATATTGTAACCATTTATACAATAAAAGGGAGCCCCTTTGGCTCCAGGGCACGCCATTGCACCCAGCGCTGTATTCTTTGCTCCACTGACTTTGTCCCCAATAAAACTTTTTTTTATATATACGTGGGCTTGTTTCTCACAGAAACAAAAGAGCCAGTTCACTGTGGCAAAAAACATTTGGGTGACTGCTCCCCATCCTTAGCTCCTTGCACTGCTCCAGGGAAGCTGCAGCTACCTCCAGGCTGTGCCCTGCTAAATTCCCCCCTGTTTTTTCTGTAGTTACCCTGGCAAACATGATTTTTAAACCAGGCTTTCAGTTGTGATCATTCCACAAATGACATGGAAAGTGCAAATCTGAACCACGGCAAGGAATGGAGCAGCAGAGTGAAATCTTTGAAAGCAAGAGGGAGATTAAGATACGGCACAGAGAAGGACTTCAGTCTTTTCCATTGCATAGCTCTGTTATCCTGCCACACAGGGAGGGTTTTCCCACAGCCTTGAGAGCAATGTAAAGTACATGGACCTTCACCAAACAAGTGGCTCCTGTGAACTTCCTCAGCCTCTCTCTCTGTTGCATTACATGTGTACTGTGTACTAGGAGGCAGTTGCGAGAGCCAAATTGCTGTAAGAATAATTTGGCTTCTGAGGTCTACATTCCACTAAGCATGAAAGAAACAGCAACTTTTTCTCCTTAAAATTTGACAATACAGCTGTCTGTCTGAAAGCAGGAGAGCAAGCTCAAACTCTGCAAAGATGCTTAAGAATTGGTCAAGTAAGATCAATGGAAAGACAGCAATTTCTTGCACAGCTGGAACTCTCTGGTGGATAAAAACCTCATGTAAAGTAAAAGCAAACTTACTTTTATCAGGAGTAAAACATCACATATACAAAGGGGCCCAGCTTAGTGCACTGCTTTAACCAAAACAAGAGAACATATTGTTGGGAAAATAAGGATATTTCTTTTCAACTTTTCATAGCAGGATGATTACTTTTTTTAAAAAAAAAACTGCCTGGATTTTGAAGAAGCAAAGAGATGAAAGACTGAAAACCAACCAGAAATCAAATTACTTTTTTTCTTTTTTTTTAATCAGCTTTTCCATCCTGATGAAACAAAGCCAAAGGAAGCAATCCTAAAGCCTAAACAATATGGTTCTCCCATGTTTAAATGTGGCTGAGAAGCCAAACCCTCCATAATTTACGCAGTATGTCAGGCATGGGCTGCAGTAATTAAACACGAACTGAACACCAAGCATGTACTTAAAAGCACATACTTAAGTGATGCCAGCAGCCCTGCTACAGCAAGGAAAGGGGCAGGTTCTTGCTTCAAATGTGGACAGAACAAAAGCTATTTAAATACAAGCATATAGCAGTCATTCTTCTTTATCCCTGGAGCACCAGTCACAGGAGTTAACCTGGAGGACAGTGAAGAGCATTTTTGACAGTCCACCAAGTAAAAAAGTCAGCCTGCAGTTCAGCAGCTCAGAAGGAGCTCTGTGTTTCATTGAATCCAACTTCTAAGTACACCCGACTGCAAGGTCACAACAACGCGTAAAATAATGTTTTGCTCCTCTTTGTTTCAAATCATGAAGTTTAAGCACAAAATGTGTCAGGTTATAAAAAGCAACGAACAAATAAATGGCTTATCTTAGAGGCACAAGCTCTGCACAGACTACACTCATTGTTCACCTATGATTGGACAGTGTGCAAGTTTAATTAAGCTTTAATTGTGGGTAGGACAGACTGCAGATTTTTACCTTAAAATGGATTTGTTCAAGAATACCACAGCAGTACCAAGAAAAAAAAAAAAAGGGGGTCAGGATGCTGTGTGCTCCAGGGAGAGCTGAAAGCTGGCTGGTGACCTGCCTGGGCTCATCACATGCTTGAGCCTTCTGCCTTTGCTCACCGTGCACGGCGAGGCAAAGTTCACCCACCACAGAAACCCAGGCCCTGCTCTGTCCCCGAGAGTCAGCATTCACCACATCCCCAAGGCCAAGCAGAGTCGTCACATGGGGAAGCGCAAACATCCCTCCTGTCCGGGTGAACCAGCAAAGAGGGAAGCTGATGCGCTGGGTAATTGGGCATGCAAATTAAACATGGGTGTCTGCCAGTTGGTTTTTCTGCGCAGACCAAATGTTGAGTCGTTTTTTTCTGCTTTGAAAGCTCGTACCAGATGTGAATGCGGAGTTTAAGGAAATCACCATGGTTCTATCACTGGACTGCTGGCTGTTGCTGCTGTTTCTAATGGCCCCATCCCTGCTGTTTCCATGCCCTGTGCTAGAGAACACTGTCACCTTTTTGAAGCGGATATGGGCTATCACAAGAGCACACCACTGAGGAAACCCTGAGTCTCGGTGATAAGGAGCCCAGCGCAGGGGTCGGGGATCAGGCAGCCTTGGCCCTGTGATGCAGAGACAAAACTCGCTGTGTAGGGCAAGAATGAGACGAGCCAGCAACGCGTGGCATTACGGCAGGGGGACAGACGTGCTGCATGCACCCCAGGTGCCCACTGCTGCAGGGACCCGGCTCCGCAGAGCGAGATGGATTACCCACGCACGGACCCAACCGCCTCTGCGGTGTAAAGGGGAAGCAGGTGGTACAGAGGGACTTTACTCCCCTCGCCAAGCACCGCACAGGAAAGTCTCTGCCTGCCTGCTGCAAATCATGCAGAGGGCCCGCTCCCCAAAATATCAGAAATCCATCGTGCCCCGAGGCTGGTGCAGCAGCTGGGCTACGCCAGGAAACCTCCACAACACATGGGGTGAGAAAGCATCTGTTTTGGATCCTCTTAAAATAGGCACCAGAAAGCAGCAGCACGACTTTCAGGGTCTGAATACTTCCTGTTTGAATACTGTACTCGTCACACCATCTCCCCATGAACAGCTGGGTAAATGCAGCTTTTCCCTTTTCTCCAGGGAAAAGCTGCTCCCTCCAAGCAAGAAGGGACCATTACTCCCCTAACCAAATTTAGCAAGGTCTCACTTTTGCTGTACTGGAAATCTTAGTTCAGCTGCAGAATCCACTACGGGGAATCCTAGATGACTAAGGAAACCTGAAGCTGTAAAGGGAGCAAAAGGGGGCTGTAGTTCCAATCCTTCTCAATTTAGATATTACGGGCAAATTCCTCCCTTACCATGTACCTTTCCACCAGCAGCGTAAGGATGGCACAGGAATTCCTTCATTGCATGTGTAAGGGATTATTATTAATAACTGTTTCAAAACAATTATTTTGCTAGAGCTTTGCAAACAACTTTGCTCTGGCAGCAAAAGCATGAAGGGAAATCCAGGCAAGCAGAATGAAACCCTAAAATACTACGCATTCCTCTTGCATTGCTTCCTACTAAAAGGTTCCACTTCTGAGGCCAAAAACTTTGCTGT